AAAAAAAATATAAGGCCACTGGCAAAGAATCCACTTAAAATCAAATACATTCCACCTTGATCAGCCGATTAAAACACACATTTTACACACGGACACAATTACCTCACAAGTCAAGATATATCACAATATCAGACCGACCTGACCGTCAACAGGGTCAACAGTATCTGTACGATCCGTACTGTGATCACTTGATCGACTGTGATTGGGTCACACAAATGCGATTCGCTATATTGCAATAGTCGTATTGTGATTGGTTCTATCTAGTTCAGTCCGACCGAGTCCGACTGAGTAGAGATGGCAGATAATCCTATGTTTCCCCCTTCCCCTATGACAGTTACTTCTACTTGTCTGAGCGGGTCTGAGGCTGCAGAAGTGCATCTCAAGATTATTTGTTGAAACACATTCGTCACATCCGCTCTTGGGCCACCGCGTCTAGATGCCGCCACTGCTTATTTCTCGTCAGCGTAGCCTAGTTTTGCCTATCGCATGTTCCATAACCTATAATTTTATTTTAAATAAGGTTTGGAATTGTGATTCTAGATGTGTAGTTAGCAATGCGACTGAGGGCTATATGGATAATCACTGTAAATAAAAACGTGTCTTTACCATTATTTTCACGGCAAGTTATTAAGCTAATGAAATTTATGCAGACTAATGCAGCAATCTTGAATGCATCTTTTTACTTTCAGCTTTAGAAATATAAATGTGAGGTGTGATTAATGTTGGAGGGGAAAGCATTCATACCTTTACTGACCAGTTATTCAGCTAGATATGCGGAAAAAGTCGGGAGGAATCCGTCGAGTGTCGTGGCTTTTTTATTCCTTGGGCGCTTCCTATTCAGTGGCCATTATCGTAAAGCGAACTCGACCCTTTTTTTTGTGTGTGTATAAGTTATGAGCAATGCCAACATTTTCGAAACAACGTTATGGCACGTAAATAATCTCCACAGGGTATTGCATGTCTGGCGAGTTGTGACATATTAATAGCTTTTCGTTTTCATACTTTCTAGACAGGTCCTTTAATGAGGAGAAATGAATGCCATTTATGGCCATGAACTGACCTGTACTCTGCATGCTGCTTCAACTCTCACAGGCTAGCATCTCACAAGTTTTCCTGTGTTTAGTTTTAAGTAGTAGAAGCCGGGACAGGGTAGTCGGTATAGCGACTGACAATGGGCTGGACGAACAAAGGGCCGGAGTTCGAGTCCCGGTAGGATCAGGAATTTTCTCTTCTGTAAGTCATCCAGACCGGCTCTGGGTCCACTCAACTTCCTATCCAATGGTTACCAGGTGCTGTTTACCGGCGGTAAAGCGGCCGAGGCGTGAAGCTGACCACACACCGTCAGCTAGTCCCAAGGTCAAGAAAATGTGAATCTATACATCACTCCCCCATTCGCCTTCATGGTGTAGTGCTTAATGAGTTAAGCACTGGGACAACTTTACCCATAGTTTTAAGTAGTAATGTAATTATGGTTTTGTGGGAGCATCCCCACAGTGTCTGGCAGACAACCATCACCCCTTTCAGAAAGTGCCAAACAGGCAGCCGTGACCAAAGAGACACGGTGGCTGTGCCGTCCGAGGCATGAACTGCCCTTGCTCACTCGGTCGAATCGTGGGTTCAAATCCCACTTAAGGCCTAGATGTTTGTCTGTGTTTATTCTATGTTTGTTTTGCCCTTTTTCGTTGGGCTGATTCCCCATCCGAGGAGTCCTACCAACTGTCTTAAGATTAAGAAACTGAAGTGAAACGAAGCATTTCACAGATGCCCAGTGCTCCAAGTGGAAGCAACAGGAATAGATATGGCTAGATAGAGACATAGCTATCACAATGAGGCACACACATAACATGGGTCACAACGTCCCTATAACTAGACCAGGCCTAGGTTCTGTATATACTATTCTTCCAAGGCATTAAAGCAAATGTATAGTTATTAGGTAAATTAGTTCACAGAGAATTTATGTAAATTGATGAAAGGAAGTAAACAGTTCTGATTGTTTAAATAATATTGATTCTTTCAATTTGTAACTATGTATATGTATTACCAATAAAATGTTGGTGGGTGAGTAGGGATGATATTTTATGCTTTTTCTCAGCAGTGTATTCAGAAGAAATAAAAATCTGTATTTTGCAAGAATATTTGTATACATTGTACGAAGTTTCACATTAGAACAGTGAATCTTCTGTCGAGATATGTCATCTTTTGAATATAAATAAAATATTTTGATGGTGACCCCAACTGCTAAGTATGTTTTCTGTTTTCAGTGTTGCATAATTTTAGTTTGCATTCCTCTTACACTAGGCACTTCTCAATAGTTGAGGCATGCAGCAAATCAGTGTGTGGAGATGCCTATATAGGCATACCATCAGATGAATCATTTGTGAAAGCCCTGCGCACAGAAGTGGCCCTGATAGATGCAGGTAAAATGACTGCAGTGAATGAAATTGGGTTCTAATGTGATGCATAGTCACTTATTGAGTGTCCCATTCTTAATGAAAATAAATGGTATTGTATTTAAGTATCCTGTTGCACTAATATACTCTTCATTCACACGATATACTTCCGTCCACAATGCAACTCATTTAATATCTTCCTCTCCCTCTCCTCACTACGTGTACATGTTACATAGTGTGCAAATGATGAAAATAAATGTGTCAATTCACTGTGGCTTAGCCAAGTGACCAGTATACTTGCCACATTAATTCCAACCATAAAGCATGGTGTACACTATGAAAATATTCCATCCATAACAGTGAAGGTGTTAAATGAAGGCATATTCAAAGCAACACCTGTTGGTATATTTTAGCAAGTTTCAGTGAATAGGTATGAATGTGAGTGGGAGGATCTCCCCCCTCCCCACAGGAAGTTTTGTAAATATCAAAACTGAAGGAAAAAATGTAGAAAATATGAGTAATACAAACAAGAGTATTTTTAAAATAGATTATTTATGTGTCACCCTAGGGGTGACTATAGACTAGTCATTTCCTGGTAATGAATCTTAACAATGAAGATTCTTCAGCTTACATGGTCACGTCGTTGCTTGCTGGTCAACACTCCACAACTGAACTGTCAACTTAATTATAGCATCATCTCTTCTCAGCCTTTCTTGCAGAACTCAATTGACAACTTAATTGTAGCGCCATCTCTTCTCAGTCCCACTTGCAGAACTCAACTGACAACTGACTGTCAGAGTCAGAGTTACTTTACAACTGGCGGTTTACCGCCAGTCAGTCTGTTTTGCAACAAGCCATTTAAGACTCACTACCAGCAACTTTATTTTCCAAACTGAACATTTGTGGTCATAGTCCTTATGTAACATTCTCTCTCATGAGAGGATGGGTCTGTTATTTACAATTGATGCAGGACCTTGCCAGCGCAGTCATTCTCAGGTCTGAGTCCCGTGGGACTCTTGACCACATTTTATTGTCTCAGGTTCAAGTCTACCTCAACCTTGAGGGCCAGGTCCCCACATTTATATCCACCAGGAACAGAGGAACCCAGATATACCCCCTGGCACTGAGTTCCATTCTCATCGTCTCTGACAACTTGCAGGGTTATGATGGTTGGTCTTCTGAAATAGATAAAGCTTCTCAAAGGTTATCATAATTAATGATCTGCAGCATTTTCTGGGAAGGATGTATAGTAACTGATAAATTACATTTCACCAGGGACATTTGTTGAATCAAGAGACAGTGCCAACAAGCCTATTCTTTACCCAACATTTGAAATTGTTCTGAAGGAGAACAAGAGTTTGTGGCCTGTTGTCGTGTTGGAAAACCAAGGTTTGCTGTATTGTGCATTACCACTGATACAGCAGGAAGTGGTGACACAGAAAGATAAAGCAGATATTACACTTGCTGACCTGTAAGTAGATAGCATTTTGTATAGTCTTATTTGAAAGTGTGTTAATTGTAAAAAGAAGAATTCATGATTCAAATACTGTATATGGCAATTGTTTGAGATCTTCATGCTCTTTTTTGCATCATAAATCTGAGTTATTACCTTTGCAAGTGAGCAAAATATTGATAGCAGGAAAAATAGCTGGTTCCAACAACTTATAACTGGAGATAGAAATCATGTTTCTGTGAACAGGCCTGGTGTCTCACTGGCAGTAGAAGCCCTCAATGGACTAGTCCAGTGTGCTCCGCTAACTTCCAGTATGACTTCCTTGGTAAGTCACAGCCACTCATTGACAGACGACATTCCAAAATAACTTAATCCAATTGTTGCAGCACAGTGGTTGGCATTCTTGTTTCATATTTGGCAGGTCTCAGTTTCAAATCACTATCCAGTATGAGCATTCTGACTGAAGTTTCTCATGGTTTTCTTTCAGTCCAGTCCATTCAGACGTATGCTAGGATATGATAATCTGTTAACATATGTCTTGATCACTTCCTTCTATATGCCTCTCAATTTTCCATCAGTAACCATCCTGTCATTTCCTGTTTGACACAAGAGCCTGTGGAGTTTTCATAGCATTGTAAAATAAACAAAAATTAAAGAGGTACCTGAAATATGCTTATTCAATAAAATTTGGATATAATTTTTGTAGCAATTGCAAATACTGTATTGAATAAACAGAAAATGTTGCTTTTTACAGAATACAGCACTGACCATGCAGGTTCACCAGTTTGTGAACACATGTATGTCTTTTGGTCGTGTCACATGCTCAAATCCATTTCTTGTGTCACAGCTTATCAACCCCTCTGGCAAAGGGAAGGCCAAGGTATGTGTTGTTTGTTATTATCCCAGTCATCCTTCCCACTATTATGACCAGTTGACTGGTTGCAAATAATACAAATCTGTATCTTCTCATATTCTTAGAATGGGTGTCTTCTTCATCTATGCTGAGGCTTTATAAATTTTGGGTTTCAATTAGAACTAATTATTTCAGCACATTCATTCCAGTTTACTGTGTAATGTTTAAAACAACTGTTATTGGTGAAATTTATAATTCTGTATTTATTTCAGTTTCTTGTTTGATTAAAAGGGCAGTATCCTGTTGTCTCCCTCATGAAAAACATTACATATTATGTTACTTTTCTGTTTTTAGTCCTGATGGTTCATTCATTGGCACAACAGGATAATGTAAAACCAACATTTTTCATCTGATGAAATGTCAGTTTCTGTGAAATTTTTGTAATTTTTAAATATACTTAAATGATATTTAAGGGTAATTCTGTGTTGGTCAATTCCAGATTTAAAATATAATAATTTCCATAAAGGTAAAGTTATCCCAGTACTTAATTATTTAATTAATTAAGCATTACAGCCTGAAGATATATGGAGAAGTGAAGGTGTAACTGCACAATTCAAAACCTTGGCCTTAGATGTAGGTGAGCAGTCAACTTCACGTCCCTGTCACTTTACTACTGGGGATTTAGACCCAGGTACTCATTGTATAGGAGGCTTTGTGAGCCCCAAAGTCAGTTTGGATGCTATGAAGGAGAGAAATTGAACCCCAGTTCCTTGATCATTCAACCTGTAGCCCATTTGCTATGCCATCTGAGCTTCTACAAACATTTTAAAATTTATCACATTATACTACATGTCATGGATGTTATAAAATTCCCACAAAATTCCTGTATCTTTGTGCTATGAAACTTAAAATATTATTTACAGTTCAGTATTTACCTCAAAAAAAAAAAACACACACACACACAATATCCCGGTTGCCCAAAATAATCAGGTAAATGGTGAAACACTGATTTATTTACAGTTAAGAAGGTAATTAGTTATTACTGTCATATAGAGTCATTAAGCTTTCAGTGTGCTTTCAATTTCAGCAGCCATTATGGAACCCAGTACCACACAAAGCCAAGTCACAAGTTATTATTCACATCAAGGAAGAAGTGAGATGCATGCAGGTGAACACTTCTAATGTAATATTCATTTGTATTTTGTAGGCTGTATCTGACAGCTATTGGAAAGATCCTGGACTAGGTAAAAAAAAATGGTGGCTTAACTTACTCAATTTTGGCTGCTATCTCCTTCAAAATAGTCTCCTTGGGAATGTATACAGTGATCCCATTGGTATTTCCATGCTAAATACAAAGCATGCTAGTATTAAAGCTAAATATACTGCATATTTCATGCAGCCATCATATTGTTATACATTCTACAGAAAAAAAGTACTTATATAAAAGTTGCTTATTTTTCAAATATCTATTACCATACATCATTTCAGGACCCTATATTAAATTGTGCTAGTGTTGCTCCCACATCGCAAGTTCATGCATCCACCATGTTGTTATTATTGATTATAGGGAATGAATGAGGTTCGTGTGGCATCCACTGGTGTAATGTTCATAACAAATTCTGAGAAAGTTGGTTATTTAGTTCTTATAACTCAAGTAATAAGTTGACTAATGCAGCATAGTGATCTCATAAGACTACTTTCTTTAAGAAAAAGAAAGTAGAGCAAATATAGAAAAATTTAATGCATTTGTTGCGAATACATAACAGTGAATGATATCCTAAGAACATTTCACAATTCAAACTAGCAGGAAGGCAGGAGACAGGAACACCAAGAAGGGACTGAAAAAGTTACCTTCATAAAGAAGCTCAGATTATTTGTATGTACAGATGAAGTAAAGGATGCATGTCATAGCATTTCAGATATTAACTTTAGCATTCATAAAGATTCTCTTGTCTGTTGAACAGTGAAGTACATTACCATTATAGGAAGGAAAATTGTGACACAGAAGCACTATCTCAAATTTCAGTTCAATCACAATGAAGTCAGAGATGCTATGGATGTGTATGGGTCTGTAACTTGCAAATCGGAGGTTGAAGGCACAGCCCCAGAAATCTGCATCACTCTCATTCAGCCAGGAGGTAATGATCAGAACATTAATGGAGGAGGGTTGACAGTAAGTTCTGCTGTGTCCAGCATTGAATATACAGCCACCACATCACGGTTGAGGTTCCGACCATGCAATAACCAGCCACTTTGCCACTATACTCTGCCTCATCTAACCAAGCCACCAATATATGGGGAATTTAAATTAAGGGTGAGTATTTATCTCCAGCATTCCTATTGGAGGGAAATTCTGTCTTTGTCTGAAATAATGGCATAGACTTAAACCAAGAATTTTTGAGCACCCCAAGTCAATATAGAAGTTCTCTTGTAGTGTTTATGGTATCAAGTATATTCATATTGCTTCAAAAGCTGTGATTTGCTTAGACATATAAGTTATACAGAGCAGAAGTGTCAGAAATTTGACATACCAATAGAAATACTGTCACATGTTCGTGACTAGACATAAAGTTTAAATTAGTAATTTGGTTTGTTGGACTCTATGAATCATAAGTTATTATAATCCTCTCATTAATTCAGGTACTTAACAAATCACTGTAGCACACGTTGTCTCCTATGTCTTGACTAGCCATTGCCTGGTAATGGATCTCAACAATGCACTGTTTGCATCCTTACTGGCTGGCAACTGTCTTACAGCTAATTAATTCAACTGTTGACAACTGTTGACTGTCCTCATGATTCTTGGCCTCCTAGCCATGACTGTCCGCTCACTGGCTACCCCTGGCTCTCACTGGCTCAATGGTCAGTCAGCCAGCATGTCACAGTATTTATTACTGGGCTCTCTGATCAACTAATGTACTTTCTATGAGCTGCCTTCATAGTGTGAATGGGAAGGAAGTTGTATGGTAAGCAGAGATTAATTTCTGACCAAGATTATAAAATACTACACTCAAAGTCAAATTTTCATTTTCACCCAGTTTATCATCTTCAGTCGTCATTTAATCATACAGGTATATTCGTTCAAATGGTAACGCTGGTGACTGGTATTCAGGAGGTACCTGATTTAATTTTGGCTTGGACACCAAATGTCTTGACGTTTTCCCCGGTCTTTTCGGGTAAATGCTGCCATTTGGACCTGGTATTAGGCCATGACATCTCCTTCTGTAGTCCCTTTTATTTCACACCACATACTCAACCCCTTATCTCTTTTGATGCTGTGTAACCTATGCAGCTATATACTATCATTAAGTAATTTATGAACTATCTGATCATTTAATGCTTTATAACCTCTAAAACTGACAAATTAAATCACCTCTGCAGCTGAAACATAATTATTAAATAACGAATCAACTAAATATTCGATTAAGATTACTAACTTCTAGGATGTAATGCCACATAGTGTGGTAGATACATACATATAAACATTTCAGAGGAATGCCAACTGCCTTCATCATCAAGGTAGAAAAGGATGCCATACTTGTCTATGCTGAAGGTATAGGCAGCTTGTTGCTCTAAAACATTGGTACATGCATACCATTATACTTCGCATCACATCCCAGGAGACAATGTTATCATAGTCACTGCTACGAGAACCTCATACCTCATAAATACAAGGGTTGGATAAAAAGTAGTGGCAACACTGCTGTAACATGAAAGATGTGTGTCAGGTGGCACTAGCACTGTCCATAGCTGATAAGCAAAAGTTCAGTTGAAGTAGTGCAGTGAGTGGCTCTGGTTGTTTCATTGAGTTGCATTGTGCATCGTCTAGAAGTGCAGGAGCCCAGTTCAAGCACCCTAACAACATGTTCATGAAACAAGAACAACGCTCCTGGATAAAAATTGAAGTTGCATGAGGTCGTAGTGCACAAAACTGTTATCAGGGACTGCGAGAAGCATGTGGTGATTCTGCTTTGCTATATCGCACAGTGGCACGATGGGTGAAATTGTTCCATGAAGGGAGGGATGCCATTCAGGACAGCCGTCTTTCAGGACAACCCCATGTTGACAATGACACAATTCAGCTTCTTGCTTCTTTGCTGGATGTCGATCATCGATGGGCTGCGCGAGAGTTAGCTGCTGAGGTAGGCATATGTCAGAAAATCATGCTCCACATTCAGCACGATATTCTTGGATACCGCAAAATTGCAGCGCATTGGGTACCCCATACAATGTCTGAGGTGCAACAATGGCAACGTTATGAAATTGCACAGGACTTGTTGGACCAGTACCAGAGGGAAGGTGATGACTTCCTTGGAATGATCGTCACTCTGGATAAAACTTGAGCTCGCTCATACAAACCGCACTTGAAGTGACAATCAAATGAATGGAAGCATCCTGACTCTCCTTGTCCAAAGAAAGTGCGCCCTACACAGAGTAATGTGAAGGCGATGTTCACTGTGGCATATGACATTGATGGAGTGATACTGCACCACACTGTACGTCAGTGAGACAGTAAACGTTGCCTACTACTGCAATTTCCTGCATAATCATCTTCGTCCAGCACTCAGGAGAAAGCGACAACACTTGTTGGCAACAAACCCCATCATGCTTCATGACAATGCAAGGGCTCATACTGCTGATGCTGTCAAGGATCTCATTCACCGCTGGTGATGGGAGATACTGCAACATCCGCCATACTCAACCAATATGAGTCCGTGCGATTATGATCTCTTTGCCAAAATGAAAGAACCACTGCGAGGGACACGTTACAACAGAAGAGAGGAGATTATTCATGCTGTAGGGTGGTCACTACTGGACATCAACAGAAGTGGACGTGCTGATGGTGTACGACGCCTTCCACAAATTTGGCAGAAGGTGGTACACATGGGGGGCGATTATATTGAAGGAATGTAAGTGTGTTTACCTCAGATAATAAAGTCATTTTAGAACTATAGAGGTGTTGCCACTACTTTTTATCCGACCTTGTATTTCATGCTACATGACATTTATAAATGTCAGACATAATTAAATAACATATAACTCACTTACATCACTGTTTGTGATGATAATTTTCTTACCATTATACCAGCTCCATTTCCGTTATATTTGTAGCTGAACAAGAGCCTGGTGACAGTGTATCTGCAACTGCAACTTCAGGCTGGCATAAGGAACCATTTCCAGCAGCTTGAGGCACACATTCCCTTCTATGGGCTGCAGGTGTCAATTGTGAAGCCCAGTTCATCAGTTGGGTCTGTCTCGGTACAATCCGGCAGCACACTGGTGTGGAATGTGGGTAGCAAATTTCCTACCAAGTTGCTGAATGCCACACTAAGCACTGTGTGCAAACTGCGAAGGAAGATAGACAGTTCAGCTGAGCAGGAAGTTGGTGGAAAAGACATGAATGGATGGGAGCAGTTCACCAGTTCCTGTGCACTGGTAACCAGCAGTATAAAAACTTCATTAGTGTGAACCTTATGAGGACATGTTCTCAGTTTGATACATGTCTGTCCCAAAAAGCTTCAGAACTGGACTTGTTTTTGGCTATGTGACAAGCCTAGAAGTTTGGCATTGTGAGAAATTAGTGAACACTGAGCTTGCTGTTGGTCTTACAAGCTAGTTCATTCTAATTCACAAGACCATATTTCTTCCATGTCCTATGTATGGGCAAAAAAGTTGGCATATGAGATTACTGTGCTGCCCATGTTTGTCTATTTAAATTTCTGAACCAGTTAACCAATTTTCATAAAATGTGGTTTGAATGTTATGCCATTTTTATTTCTTGCAATGAGTAATAACAGCATGGTGCTCACATGAATTTATGAGGCTGGGTGACACTACTGACACCTACCTCAGGGCTCTAAAATGATGTATGGTAACAGAGCTTGGAAAAATTTGCAGTGTTTGTTCAGGTCATGTTTTTGTAAAGCTCTGAAGGCCCACCCAGCCTCCTATCCAATGGTTACTGGAGGCTCTTTCCCAGGGATAAAGCAGCCTGGGCTTGTAGCTGACCACTCACCTCCATCTAGTGCTGAGGCCAAGAATGGTGGAGCTACACCTCCACTAATAATTAAGTCTTTAAGGCATGGTGCTTAATTAATTAAGCACAGGAACAACTTCACCTTTACCATGAAGATGTATTGGAAACTGAGATATAGCTCCAAGCATATTTAACCTCAGCAGCAGATGGAGGTGAGTGGTCAGCTTCACACTCTAGTAATTTTATGCTTAGGGAAATAATTTCTGGTACCCAGTGGATAGGAGGTTGGTGTACCTTAGATCCAGTCTGGATGCTAAGGGGAAGAGAAAATTTCTTGCCTCTGCCAGGAATTGAACTGAGATTTTTCAGTCATTTAACCCATAGCCTAGTCACTATACTAACTGAGCTACATACAATGTAAAATAAGAACTTGGCAGCCATGCAAATATTTTCTTTGGGTTACAGTTTGATGGCAGTAACTAATGAACCACTGGAGCCAGGTGTGTGAAATTTAGTATTGAGACTGGCCATAAACACAACTACACATTATTTGTGAAATACTGTTTGCATACCAACCATTAAAAAAGCAGCAGTGATGCAAAACATTGAGGTTATACCTAACAAACTTGAAATATACAGAATCTGTGCTTAAGTAATGAGTTCTATACAAGGAAGGAAAGTATGCTTTTTGAATTCTGCTTAGAACCCCTCATTCTTTCTTGGCGCATAATTTAATTTTCCATGTTTCAGGTGCTATTCAAGATGGCAGACTACACATACAGTGGCACAAGAGTGGACCCACAATCCATCATGGTTTCTTCAGCACCTAAAGTTCGCTGTACAGTGAGTACGTATTATGATTTTTTTGTAGTAAAATTACAGTACCAAAATATTTTAACTTTGCTCTATTCATACTGAAATTTGGAAGCACTGGCAGAAGGCTTCTTTTGGAATCTTCCAGAGTTCAGCCATCATATTCAATTTGATGTCCTCCACTGTTGTGAAACGTGTCCCCTTGAGCCCCATTTTCAGAGTAGGGAACAGCCAGAAGTCACTCAGAGTGATATCTGGAGAGTACGGTGGTTGGGTGATGACAGGAATGCTTTTCTCAGCAAGGTATTGCTGCACAACAAGCAAATTGTGGCTTGGTGCATTATCGTGACACAGAAACCACTGTCCCTGTCACTTGTCGTGCCACTTCCTCTGAACTGCATCGTGCAACCTCTGCAGTACTTGCTCATATAAATGACCAGTAACATCCTGTCCAGGCAGTACAGACTCATGGTGCACAAAACTGTCAAAGTCAAAGAATACAATGAGCATCATTTTTTTCTTTGATTTGTGGTGGACCAAGTGGCACTGGGGCAAGTTTTCTCCGAGTACTTCAGTTTCTCCTGCCAATATTCATTCCACCAAATTCTCCATCATCATAATCACCTGGGGCAGGCCACAATAGACCAATCAGTGGCTGCTGTACCGAGTGGAACCAGTTGGACTCCACCCCTCACTAAGCGAATTAAAAAAATTATAAACATTTTTTCCTTGGATCTGACAAGGCATGATTTCTTTGGTAGGGGAGATGACACTGTATGCCACTCTGATGACTGCATCTTTGTCTCTGGATCATAGGCAAACACAAATGACTCACCACCAGTGACGATCTTTTTGAGAAACTTTTTGACTACCCATGAATGAGGGAGAAGAGGAATGCATATAGGTTATTGGTGGGAAAACGAGAAGGAAAGAGACCCTAGGAAGTCCATCGCGTAGGTGTGTGGACAATATTAAAATGGATCTTAGAGAGATAGGATGGGTGGTATGGATTGGATTGGTCTGGTTCAGGATAGGGACCAGGGGTGGGCTCTTGTGAACACGGTAATGAACCTTCAAGTTCCATAAAATGCTGGGAAATTCTTGAGTAGCTGCAGAATTGGCAGTTCCTCCAGACGGGCTCAGCTCCATGAGTAAGAAAGTAAGTAAGCAAGCATCCTGTTGCATTAACACATCATTTATTCCACATATATTTCCCTCTTAAATACAACTTCTTTGTATATTGAAATGGATTATAAGGAAGTTGTTTGTGAAGATATGACTTAGGTCTCATGTAAGGTCCAATAGTAGACATTCATTACTGTGATGACTGCTTTGGTTGTACATCAGTAGAAAATTTCATGATCAGTTTAATATTGCCTCCTGAAGGACAATGGCCATATGCTCATTATTGTGCACAAAAGTAGTTGTGCTTAGAAACAGATGTTTAGGACACAAATTACTGATTCAAATTATTTTTGTTCACAGCCACAGAATGTGTGTCCAGCCAGTACAAAATATGGAACAGTGAGGCAGAGGTGCCCAGTGTGACAGATATGCCTGTACAAGATCTGCAGAAGCTGCTGATTGAATAGTGTTTAGTGTTCCCTCCTGTTTCTATGCCAGATGTCAAGATCATTACACGAAAGTTGTAACCAACCCTTTGTCATAGTNACAGATGTTTAGGACACAAATTACTGATTCAAATTATTTTTGTTCACAGCCACAGAATGTGTGTCCAGCCAGTACAAAATATGGAACAGTGAGGCAGAGGTGCCCAGTGTGACAGATATGCCTGTACAAGATCTGCAGAAGCTGCTGATTGAATAGTGTTTAGTGTTCCCTCCTGTTTCTATGCCAGATGTCAAGATCATTACACGAAAGTTGTAACCAACCCTTTGTCATAGTGAGAGTGACATCAGCTAGTCCAAAACTCTTTGTAATGGAAAAGAAAGTCTTCAGCTAACTTCAGGGAATCTGTATGCATTTTTCAGCTAGAAGAAAGTTGATTTACCAGTTTTTTGTGGAAGTTTGCAAGGTGTATGAGGTTAGACAGGGAAATAACCTGACTGATTCTGTAAACACAAATATGTACGAGTATGTCTGAGGGGTGGACTACAATCCGGCCCCTGCACCATGACCAACAATAATCTGTAACCACAAATATACCATCACTACTAACATCTGGTGAGTGCAGTCACATTTAAAGTATTTGCCTTCCAAATATATACACATTCCAGCATCCCTTACCTTACTGGATGTCATTCTTTAGAAGCTCTTTCAACAGTTGTCATATTGCTCTGAATGTGTTCCAAGTGATTTGAAGTCAGGCTTTTTTGGGAACATAACATCACACCAGAACCATATCAAGTGAGTTCAATGCTCTTGCCTTGATATTATTTTTTAACCAACAGGTTTTTGATTGAGAATGCTGTATGAAGAGGTGCATTGTCATCACACAAAATTCACTTGTTCAGTAAGAGATTCCCTGCTCTCACATGGTCAAGAAATCCTCCACTTTTTTGGAACCCAAAAATTCATTAGTGTTCATAAGAGCCCACCACTGCACCCTGTCCTAAGCCAGATAGATTAACTGATGAAAAGTCATCTTCTTTCTTCTTACAATCTTTTGTATTTCTTTCCAAGCTCTTTCGTCTTTCTGTCTTCTAGAACCTGGCTAAGTCATTTGTTCTGGGTTGTCCCATAAGTCACTCATCTTTAAATTTTAATTTTAATGTCCTCTTTGGTGTCCTTGTTCCATCCTTTGTTTTCAGATGGCTAAACTATTGCAGTAATTTCTCTTCTAACTTTATTAACAAATTCTGAAATGTTCCTTATAAGCAGGAAATTATATATGTTCCCATCACAAATCTTAAAAGTCTCAATTGATTTCTTACACTGTTCTATCACTTAGTTTCAGTTACTAAAAAAGATTGTTAGAGAAAATATAAACATTTTGGATATATAACATTTCTACAATTGATAATAATTGCAAAAAGGTGTAAAGATAATTGAAGGTATTGCGTAACCTCAAAATTACAAGAATTTATCAAAATTCCTTGATTATGTATAATACAGTGTAGCACAAAGGTTAAAATAATAATGCACATACAGCAATATTTCTTCTTTTTTGAAGTGAATATCATGGGTAATGAAAATAATGAATAATAATTCAGTATTCTCATCATTATTACCATTATCCGAACCGAAGAGTTCCAAGATTTTCTTAAACTTACATGACCTTTTCTGCTCACAAAAAGCTACTAATTAGGAGCCATCCTTTGCAGGCAATGGTCCTGCTCACTATTTTCCACATGCCTGCAAGGACAGATCACTCTTATTCCACTCACAACATCCAGAATTCACTGCACATGCATATATGTGAGGATAAACATATTGACTTGTATCAAACTTGCATAGCAGACATAACACATGAAGCAATCTAATTTAGATAAAGGCAAGACTATTCTAACAACCATATCATACAGGATGGGGCGCAGAAACTTCCTTTTTTTGAAGGCGAATAAAAGAAAAATTATTGCTGATAGACAAAATTTATGTTTAGCTAATGAAAGAACATACTTTAAAGTTTTAAATCATGTAGTTTTAAACAAAATATCTTGAAGGTGGTGGCCACCATTCTCTATGCACTGATGCAACCGTTTTCTGAAGTTCCCCTCTGCATGTTCCAACACGTGCACCGCAATTTGGGCTACTTCCTGCTGAATAACATTCTTCAGCTGAAGCAGGTTTGTGGGGCGATGTTTAAAAACCTCTGCCTTGAGGTATCCCCATAAAAAAAAATCACAGGGTGTTAGATCAGGTGAGTGCACTACCCACGGGATGTCACCTCGAAGCGAGATGAGCCATCCGGGAAACTTTGCCCTCAAAACTGTCATCAAAGCTCAGGCTGTGTGGGCCTTGGCACCATCCTGTTGGAACCACACATTTCCTAGATTCATTTCTTCAAGAGCTGGTTCAAAAAAGTTTTTAATCATGTCCACATACCGCTGTGAATTGACAGTAGCTGCACGATCATCTTCTTCAAAAAAATAAGGGCTAATAATTCTAACTCTCGACAACGCACACCATACTGTCACCTTATCACTGTGAAGTGGCCTCTCATGAAGCTCTTTGGGATTGTTACCACTCCGATAGTGCACATTCTGCTTGTTGACATGTCCAGATATGTGAAAATGTGCCTCATCACTAAAGAAAGCAAGTGTGTCAGGGGGTAAAGTTTCCAATAACGTTTCGCATGCCGTTATTCGGTTCTGGAAATCACGTGGTGACAATTCTTGCACAACAACCATCTTATAGGGATGGAAATGAAGATGTTCGTGAAGAATTCGGTGCATTGAACGATTGGATATGTCTAGGGCAACTGCCTGTTTGCGAGCGGAGCGTCTTGGAGATCTCAAAATCGACTGTCGAACTGTCTCCACATTTTCTGGCATCGTAACGGTCCATTGTCGTCCTGATGATTTTTTCACCACACTCCCGGTTGTCCCAAAGTTCTCTACCCACAAAACAATCGATTTCCGGTCGGGAACTGGACCTCTGGGCTTAATTCCGAAGTGAGTATGGAACGCACGCTTCACCGCCACGTAGGAATATTTGTTCAAAAAATAGGCTTCGACAGCAAACTCACGCTGCTCACTCATCCACCTCAAGTTTCCTACTGACGGGTATTAGACAGAAACTTCCACAACTGCTGTGTTCGCAGAGCCTATCCCCGCTCTTCTGCGACCTCCCCCCTCCCTTCACAATGCAGAAGTTTCTGCACCCCACCCTGTACAAGACTGCCATGATCTGAATCCTCATGCTTAATTTTGTATGATAAACATAGATCCCTTTGTTGAAGGAATGGCTAATCGTAGTATTGCTAGTTTGCATCACACTGTAATATGATACAGATTCCCCATTCCCCTTTGTAGACATAAGAGTTAATTAGGGTTCTGGAATCTCTCACCTCCTGTTATCATTTTTGTTTATATAATATCTTCTGCCATTGCAGTTCCCAGATGGCCAGATTGCCTCATGTTTTGTGTGTTTATGATTTCTGCTGTGGCTTTAAATAAGGTCCCTGTCATGTCCATTAAAGATGACATCAGTCTGCTCAGAGTGTGAGAATACTGTTCTCAGCAATTACATGGTACATGAATTATATAACAAACTGTTCCAGCTGAAAACAAAATACAGCATTAATAAAGTTTCTGGAAATGTAGGAATTCAAAATCACTCTATGTTGAAAACCTTCTCAAATATATTTCCAAATTATTTACAAATTTTATATTTCATCTTAAACATCTTTCTGTAAATTTTCCAGCATGCAATGTACATCCACATAAGAGCTTCCTATGTCCTTATGTATATTCATTATAAATAAAATATATCAATTATAGATCAAAATGCAAGTTACTATTAAAAGTTAGAATATTTAAAATCCACAACAAGAGGAAGAGCAACCCAGTATGTGTGGCTCCAAAACCCCTACATCATGGCAACATACTGAACTCTATCAGCAGTCAGCAATTGCTTTGGTGTAACTTGTTTGAAACTGGTATTTGATATTTACAATTTTATTTTATTTAATATCTGATGCTTCTTTTCCCTTCCACGACATGTGTACACAAACACCATGTGGTATTTGAGAGCCAAGGCCATGAACACTGCAAACAAAACATCACAGTGATAAGGTAAATCAGTGTGCAGTGCTGATTATGTTCACATGCCATCTTTTAAGAATGGATCCTTAGCAATTTATACAACTCAGTTGGCAGGAAAATAATGTTCATTTCAATCTGCATATATTTTGCTTTGACAAAACAGCATTAATGATTAGTGTTAAAAATGTGTATTCATCATCTGGTATTCTAGAAACAAGGAAACTGGAACTGTTTCCATCCTCAGGTGAGGGGGGGAAGACACCTACTCAGCTGAGTCCCTTAGAAAGAGCTAAGGGACCCAACTGAGTAGGTGTCTTCCCCCCCCCCCTTACCTGAGGGTGGAAACAGATCCAGTTTCCATAACGTTGTGTTTTCTTGTTTCTAGAATACTGGATGATGGGAAAAGTCCAAAAACCCAGCAATTCTGAGTGTTATACACCACTGTCAGAACCCTTTAGAATCCTCATATTTTGTGTTATATGGCAGTTATAAAACATCAAAGTATCTGAGATCATTATTTAGGTTTAATATGCAAATGAACAAAATCTTTTGGGAACTGGATGCCTCCAGTTTAGATGTCCCCTGAAGGTTGAAGCAGCGCCAGTTTCTGAAATATTATGTTCTTTCCAGAATACTAGATGATGGTCCAAGTGCAGAAACCTATCAATAGTAAGCATAATATATATATAGTTACTAGAACTCTTTATGAGAAAAATAGTTTGGGAGGGACATAAAAACAGTATTGCACAATAAAAGGGCAAGATGTCATGATGTAAAACATGTTCTCCCATACAAGTTACACCACAATATAGCACTGCCTATAGCATGAGCACTGTGGATTGCATTAGACAGATGCAACAGTTTTCTGTAGGCAACTTATGTTTCATCCATATGGTCATTATAAATTGATGGGCCTACATCTGTTCACCTAATAATTGCGTCCCACACTTCCTAAACCATGTCATACAAGAGCATGGACTACCATGATTTGAAATCCTTGGAAACCATTAATAAAGCAGGGAAATAAGCACTGGAGGAACGGAGGTCTCCAGAATGGAAGTGATATTTTTGTTGGTGAGGGTTCAATATTAAGGAAGCAGAACACATTGTTGCATCATTCTCTTGGTGTGATTTGTTGCTGTTGCTGTTGCTGTTGCTGTTGCTGTTCTTGCTTGTCCGAGATTGCATCCAATTGAGACAATGTCCTCAGAGCTTCTGCACGCTGATGAGGTGCTAGATGCTGAACAATTTCAACAACTGCATCCAGTGCCACATCTGGACATTCCTGCAACACAACCAAAAAGAATGGATAAATTTTGCTTTACTTAATAATGATGTGTCAGTAGCATTTGGTATGTTATATCAAATGAAAAATAGCACAATGATTATAAGAAACAGAGCTAAGAGGATGAGTTTGACAGAAAAAGTAAAAAAGTAAAGTAAAGCTATCCCTGTACCAGGCCGTGAAGGCCCAAAGGGTTGTGAGACGTTGAGGGTCCCACATTATCTAGACAATCGGCTCAAAGATGGCGGTAAGGTTGTCAGCCTTACGCACCGGCCGCGCTTTACTCCCCAGGAAAGTTATTTAATTAATTCCTGGTACTCATTTCTGTTAGAGGCTGAGTCGACCCCAGGGCCATAACGTGGCTGGAAGGATTAGGTCAATTGAAAAAATCAAATGACCTCATCGGGACTTTAACCCGTGACCTTCTGTCTTGTAGCATAGCCCCTCAACCAACTATGCTACCTTCACAGAAACGGTATGAAAATAATATCTGTGCTGAGCTATACACAAATTTGAGGCTACCAACCTAAAGCTTGATGAAAGGTAGGAACAATAATCTGGTTGCAGTAATTTGAATACATTGAAAAATTACTTCAACCAGATGTTAAATGTACATTGTATCAATGATTATAGGCAGGCCAAAATGAATGCAGCTCTGCCATTAGTATGCAAGTCTAGTTCCCTATGAGACTGAAATTTCTATTTAAATTACAAGGGAAAAACTGATCAAATTTTTGTAGAAGCGTTTCAAACAGGAGTTAAACAATGTGTTCTAAGATCCACTACTTTTATTCTATTTTAGAATTGAAAATTTTCCATAACAGTGGGAAGACTCTGTTACTGTACCTACTTGTAACAAGATTTGAATGATGCAATCCATACCCAAGTGCACACAGTCTCCACAAAAATTCTTTTCACAGTGACATTTTGAAGTCACACTGAAGTGAATGTATATTTCCTAAAAGTGCTGAAATTTTTGGTTAACATTATTACTATTATTATTATTATTATTATTATTATTATTATTATTATTATTATTATTATTGTAATGTTTATTGTGTTTCTGAACAGTTATGATATCACGGTCAGTAGCAACTTAAGTTCTTGATGGCAGATTGTTTTTGTCCATTACTACACGTATTTCACTATACAACCCTGCACTGTCTTCTTCCTGCATCTTGCATTGCATACAGGATAGCCATTATGGACTGCCGTACTTGTGAATCAGTCTTGTCCCATCTTACTTTGGTAACTCAGAAGTAAAGTGGGTGAGGGGAAAAAATAAAAATCCCATAGGAAGAGTTTTAAGTGTTTAGTTATTGTTAGAAATTATGATAACTATGTAGGACTCGTTACAAATGTCAATGAAATCAAAGCAAAGCTGAAAAGTGTTGAATATATTTTGATGGAATAGGGACAAGCATAAACATAAAGCATGGAAGTAATTTCCTGAAATATAAGATGCATGTGCTAAGGAGAAAACTGATGTTGTTCAGTGCATAAAATGCCTGTTCACTGGAAGTTACTCTGCCATAAAAACTGAAAGTTTGTATTTAAATCTCCATTCTTGTAAATTCAATTCCGGTCAGATTAACATTGAGGAATATTTATATCCATCAACTTTGTGTGTACCACACCGAATGAGAGACAAAGTGACTGCAGCATGTATATCTCATGGTGTTGCATGGACATTAGACTTTTTGATGCTCTGGCTGATTCTGGTTTCATAGACTATTGCCAATCCTTAATAAAAATTGGTCATTTCATGGGAATCTGGATGTTACAGATTTGTTACCACATCCTACCACAATATGCAAAAGGAAACTGAAAATCTGTGCACACTACTCATCCCAGTATCCAGTCATCAACTGACTTACAACACTGAAATGCATATATAGACTGACATATATGGACTAATCACTACGTACACATATCCGCCCACCTATTATCTCTAGTTTAACACAACTTTTAACCAGTGCAAGAAAATTAATAACACCCAGATAATATATATATGAGATCTGAGGTTCTCAAGGCAGACTATGAAGTATATTGTAATGGATTTGCTCAAACCAGGCAACGGTTTTGTAAACACATTCCAACATGCAACAGCGGAAACTGTCTCAGTCGGCGATTGTTACAGCTGGTTGCTAGGCAGCAGTCAGCACACCAATGAACTCGCTGGATATCAGTCATGTGACTTGTGTTTTCTGTGTGGTCCATGCAGAGCTTGTATAACAAGGACCTGTTATAGCTTAGATTAATGCAGTGCAGTTGAGAGTACAAGGACAAGAATGAAGCATGTCCTTAATGAATTGTGAAGAGTAGGTGAGTACAGATTAGGACACAGGAGTGACTGAAGATGAAATAACAAGAACATTTCATAGTGATTTGAAGTAACAGTTTCTGTGTTGAGATCCACTGCCGGGAGATGACTAGCGAAAACCGAGAATCCTTGTGTATGTGAGATGGTGAACTGGAAAGTGTGTCACTGCACTGACTGTAATTAAGAGAGACTGTAACTCAAGTAACTCAACTCTAGAACCCATTATTTTCATCATGCATACTCCCCCTACGCATGACAATAATATGCTCTTGGATGTGACGCCGTGAAATCTTGTAGAAGTTCGGCAAATCTTGTAGAAGTTCGGCAATGCCTCCATCCTCAGATTTGAAAAGTATACCAAGAAACAAGAAAGTTGCTTTCTTGGCTTATTCTTTGACCCTGAAGATGGAGGCAGTACATAACTCTAAGACACTGATGAACTTCTACCAGAGTACACAGCATCATGTCCAGAAGACAGTATTTTCATGATTTAGAGGTGTGACTAGTGATAGGGTATGGACTGGATATTGGATTTACTGACCACTTGAAATTACACTTCACAGATCACTGACACATACAGACTGGCATCCTCAGTCTCTTACAATCTCCACTAGTCATTTCCTGGCAACAGCTTTTACCAAGGGAGATTCTTCAGCTTCCCACAGTCCTCTTGTCACAGCTACCCACACAGAACTTGTGTTCACTGCCAACTCAACTGACTGGGTTCCAGGCTGGGGGCCATTTCACGCCAGCCTCCCACTCTTGTCTTCACAGGCTGACTTTCAACTGACAATTGAACTCTCTCACTCACCATCCAGCTACTTCACGTCACTTCAGTCAAATGAACTCCTGACAACTGACTGCAGCTTCATTGATGTCTTCGTTATACAGAATGGGGCACAGAAACTTCCTTTTTGTGAAGGGAGGGGAGGTCGCAGAAAAGTGGGGATAGGCTCGGTGAACGCAGCCCAAGCTTCAATGACAGTTTTGAGGGCAAAGTTCCCCGGACGGCTCATCTCGCTTCGAGGTGACATCCTGTGGGCAGCGCACTCACCTGATCTAACGCCCTGTGATATTTTTTATGGGAATACCTCAAGGCAGAGGTTTTTAAACATCGCCCCACAAACCTGCTTCAGCTGAAGAATGTTATTCAGCAGGAAGTAGCCCAAATTCCGGTGCACATGTTGGAATGTGTAGAGGGGAACTTCAGAAAATGGTTGCATCAGTGCATAGAGAACGGTGGCCACCACCTTCAAGATATTTTGTTTAAACCTACATGATTTAAAACTTTAAAGTATGTTCTTTCATTAGTTAAACATAAATTTTGTCTATCAGCAATAATTTTTCTTTTATTTGCCTTCAAAAAAAGGAAGTTTCTGCGCCCTACCCTGTATAACCTCAGGGTGGACCAAATGGAAAATACAGCCTCCAATAATCCTTCTATCGTTTTCATGGATGGTTGCCTAGTGATAGACTGGATATTGTTTCTGTGGGAACCTGTCTACTGACCACTGCTTAGGGACAGGTGTTTGTTTATCCACCTGTTGCACAGCAGTGGCTGTACTTGTCAATTTCAAGGTCTCTGCCCAGCAACAGACCTATATGCCACAGTATTCTTGAGATACTGCTCTTATTAAGAGGGTTCTTTGTTATTGCAGCAAGGCATATACTCAAATTGTAAATGAAGGTGACAGTTGTCAAATATGAAGAGCAGCTGTGAATTCAACGAGTAAACGGTTGTGGAAAACTGACTAGCGGTGATCCTCCAGCTTGAGGGTTGAACACAGGGATAACAAACCCTCACTATAAAAGTTAGCATGGTATGAAATACTACATAAGGCCTTGGATTTTTGATGGCTTCTCTGGAATTTGACTGGATTTATCTGGTTCAGAATAGAGACCAGTGGTAGGGTCTAGTGAATACAATAACACACCTTTGGGTTTCATAAAAGGTGGAGAATTACTTGATTAAGTGAGCAACTATTAGCTTCTCATGAAGGACTTTGCTTCATGGAGTTAGATACCACAACCAGATCAACAACCCTCATATTAAGCCACAAAAACAGCGAAGTCTACAGTGTAGACATTAACTATTTTAATTAATAATATAACTAATCAAAACCAGTTATCAGATTCAGGATGCTTCAAATTTTATTACAATACTGGCATTCCTATTTTTCTGTGTAGCTAAATGTTTGTATACACATACAGTAACTGAAGTTATTTATATATTTTAGAGTATTCACATCAAAATGTTATTTAAAACTGAATATGACAAATTCTTTTCTTTGTAAATATAAATTTCTGCTGTAAGGTGATGATATTGTTATGTGAGATTTATGACTGATAATTAGATGGAAATTATCAACTATAGCAGTAACTGTAACATACCTCAAGACTAGATTTGATCTGCTGGATAATAGCATCTTTCTTGACACAATGGAGGTTATTGGCCACCACAGAACGAGTTCGCTCTTCTGAAAGCTGCGTGAGCAGCCAAGCAACCACTGCCTCATTGTTTTCCCATAGGTATGCCTGTTCACCAACAGAAATACTCACAATGAATCTATGGATTAAGGGGCTGATGAAGAGGGATGCAGTTTCACTATAAGGAAACAAGAGTAGAAATAGAACACTCCAATATGGAATAAACATATTTTCCAAATGCATTATTTTCAGTTTTACATATTTCATTAATTTTCATGTTCAGTTATTGCTGACAGACTTTTGTAGTCATATAATAAAATTTCTTTCTATCTAAAATCATTATATGCATAATCTGACTGACATACTACCATACTCAACAAGTTTGTGGACTGGCCACAAAGTGGTGTTGTAGTGCACTATGGCAGATAGGTTGAGGCACGATATGATGCCCTGAAGGTTCATCTCTCATCACAGCAAGAGGCCATTGTGTGCAAACAGTGTAAGCAGTGTAAGCAGAACTATGGCCTCTATTGTGAACTGCAGTTAAACGCCAGTGGCAGAAATAAAAAATGTGGCAGTTTGAACAACAGGCAAACATTAAGTTCTGCCAAAAATGAGGCAACATGACAAACTGGCTGTTGCTACACGACAATGCCCCTGCACATCGCTCTGTTCTTGTCCAAGAGGAACTGCCAAAGCAACAGGTCACCATTTTGCCACACCCTCCGTATTCACCTGATCTCGTACCCTGTGATTTCTGTTTCACCGCTTGAAAGCAAAGCTACGTGGTCATAGATTTCAGTCGTCCGAGGAGGTCGTCAACGCCACAAGAGATGCCTTAAGGGAATTTCCTGCCAATATATTTCAGCAATGTTTTTGGCAGCTGTATCAACGTTGGCAGACTTGCATAGCAGCCAATGGTGACTATTTTGAGGGCCGATGTGGATCTGTGTAAGTGTATGTGAATACCTTGCAATATGATGCGATAAAACCACAGTCCATGAACTTCATGACTGTACCACATATATCTTTTATAGACCAAATGGTAATAGGGCTGCTGACACAAAAATGAAGTAGACTGGTTATGATTATAATAAAATTGATTAAAATATATACAATATATATCAATTAATTCTATTTATCTTGTTACGCTACTTGTTTTTGTCCATGGACCATAGGTTATGTGTCACTAGTGTCACTCCCATCTCCTGAGTTTGTGCATAGGAATATTCTTATTAGTCGTCATAGGAAATGAAAAAATTTAGAGGTTGGGTGTCTTTGAATGGCTTGTCCATGCCAGATTATGTGAAAATCTGTCAACTAGTTCAGAAATAGAAATGGATATGTACAGATATTACAGTGATCTCATAAACCTAATTTCTGTTCTCAAAGACTGTGAACATTTTTAAGTTGCATTAAAGACAGGGGTGAATGAGTGAGTCAAACAGACTTACCACTGTTGTACCCTTGTCTTCCACAAACCACCTTCTCAACATGGCTTCAGCCTGTCCTACACTTAAGTTAGGTTGGATGTTCAGCATCTGGCTCTTGATTTGATTCTCCAGAAGCAGCCTCCTTAATCTCCAGTAGAGGATACAGCGTGACTTGCGCCAAGGAACCACGTCCTGCACACACATTACTTCATCATCACACATTCTTAAAAAAAACCCTTAAGATAAGTTAAGAAAACCTGACTTGATGAAACAAAACCATACATAACCTGACCAGGAAGGAACACTGAAGAAGAAAACATATCCACAGGACAGTGATGTATGGAAGGCCCAAATAATATTGTGCACTTTAACTAAAAATCATGCTTTGAAAAAATTATCTTATCTTTTTGTTAGTATATGTCTGCAGCTTTCCTCTGAAAATAGCATACGATGGGGTACCCAAAAGAAACCGAACTAATTTTTTTGTGGGCAGAGCTTTTGTAGTACCGTGTTTTGTCGCTATAAGTGCATAGAGCTAACATTCCTGAGTCGATAAGCCGACTACCATTGCTTCAGAAGTTAAGGACTAGTTTCGGCAGAGTTTATAGTGACAACTGTTTTGTGTGATCGTCGTTTTTGCAATGGCTGATTTTCGTGAACAGCGTGCAGCGGTGAAATTCTGCTTTTTGCTTGGGAAAAGTGGAAGTTTTCCCGTTTCAAAAATGGTGAAATGTCAATTGATGACAAACCTCGTTCTGGTCGTCCTTCCACGGCCCGAACACATGAAAATGTTGAAAAAATTCGTGAAATCATCAAGGAAGATCGACGACGGACCATTGAAGAAATTGTGGAGCTGTCGGGAGTAACTTGGAGCTCAGCGGCCAGATTTGTGGCAGTCGGGTGACTGGTTTTTCCATCATGACAATGCCCCTGCTCACACAGCCTTGTCTGTACGACAATTCTTGACCAAAAATGGTATGACCCCTGTTCCTCACTCTCCATACTCACCCGACCTTGCCCTGTGCAACTTTTTTTTGTTTCCTCGAATGAAAAGAGACATGAAAGGAAAAAACGACAGAGGTGCTGTCAAGCATCTCAAACGATGAATTTAGACAATGTTTTGAAAAATGGAATAAAAGACTAGACAAGTGTATTAGTGTAAGTGGAGAGTACTTTGAAGGGGACTGGAGGTTTGTGCTTAAAATCTGAATAAATAAGTTTAAAAAAAAATAAGTTCAGTTTCTTTTGGGTACCCCCTCGTATGTACCAAAATTTAGGATCCTTAGATACCAGTACTGCAGTATAATGTAAAGATAAAAGACGATATTTCCTATGCCTATAGATCACACCATGAATGTGCATACCAAGGAGATAGAGATTGCACATTCTTAACCTCAGCAATACATGGAGGTAAGTGATTTAGTTCCATGTTGCAGATACCCTCACATCTAAAACAAGCACTTTTGATAGGTCACTGTATGGGCTGTAGAGCCATTTTAGATGTGGTAATACCTCCACCATCCTGCAGCCAGTCACTTTACTCCGCACACTACCAAAGTTCTGGTAATACTCAAACAATCTAATGTAAATTTGGAAGAGTCTATACAGAGCGTTTCACGACTTTAGGGCATAACTGCATGAGGTGATTTCCTAGGTCTTTGTGATCAAAAAAGTTCATATAAACATGTGTCCGATTTTGGATGGTTACGGAGTTATGACCGTTTTTTCATTCCCTTACACGCCCTCGTGTGAACCGCGTCTATCATCTGGCGGGTCGCTATTTTTAGCCAGCTACAGACAAGAGCGTTCTCGTTATCACGACGCTTGAGAGGTACCTAAGGCGTGGTGGGTTGGTATGTCCGACCACGGCTAGTGTGGCGGCTACTGGTGTTCAGAACAGTTCTCATCTCGGTGCATCTGTTACATTCATGATGCCATTTACATTTTCATTTGAGGAGTATGCAGATATGATTTATGTGTACGGGTTTTGTGACAGTAACTCAGTTCTTGCCATAGATGAATATCAGCAATGATTTCCGAATCGTAGAATACCGAACCGGAGAGTGTTTACTGGAGTTTACCAGGCATTGCAAGATACCAGTAGACTTCCCGGCATTCATATTGCAGCCAAGCATGGTGTTAATAAAGGCGTCAACGAAGAAGGCATTGTTCGTATGGTACACCGCAGTCCACGTACGAGTACATGAAGAATTGCCAGCCAGGTCTCCAGACTTAAGCCACTGGATTACTGTGTGTGGAGATGGATGAAAGAACTGGTTTACAATGTGAAGGTGGCAATGCGAGATGCTTTGCTCGGTTGCATTCTGGACGTTGCTGACCACATAAGGAACAGTCAGCTGAAGCTGCTACATGCTACCCACACGGTTCACAACTGAGCGGCAGCCTGTGTTGCGGCCAGCAGTGGCATTTTTGAAAATCAGCTTTAAGCACCAATCAATTCAGATTAAAGGTAATTTCACGAAGTTAACTTTACATTCATACTTTAAATGTATCATGTACTATGCTGGTTTATTATTTTGTTCTGTTTATTGTCAGTAATCGTTACCTTCTATTCTGAGTTTAAAACAGTCATAACTCCATAACCGTCCAAAATCGGACACACATTTATATGAACTTTTTTGATCACGACGACCTAGAAAATCACCTCCTGCAGTTATGCCCTAAAGTCATGAAACACCCTGTATAGTACACAGCATAAAACTGCTTAACTAAATCTCCATGGAGCTAAGTCCCTCTTGAGAAGCCAACAGTTGCTCTGTTATTGAAGAATTTACAAACATTTTATGAACACCACAGATTCACTACCATTTTAACAACAGCCTGTTACTGGTCTCTGTCCCAAACCAAATGAATTCACTCTGAAATCCCACATCCTATCCATTTTAATATTATCCTCCCATTCATATCTGGGTCTTCATAGCGGTCTCTTTCCTTCTGGTTTTCCCATCAAAACTCTGTATGCATTCCTCTTCTTTCCCATGCATGCTTCACACCCTGCCCATCTCACCCTCCTTGATTTTATCATTCAAATTATATTTGGCAAAGAGTACATGCTATGAAATTCATCACTCTGCATTTTTCTCTAGCCTCTTATTATACCCTCTCTCTTGCAGTCAAATATTCTTCTCAGTCCCATGTTCCCAAAGATCCTCAGTCGATGTTCTTCTCTCAATGTCAGAGACAAAGTCTCATACCCATAAAAAACTAAAGCCAAATTATAGTTTTTCATATTTTATTTAGACATTTTTACACATCAGATGAAATGACAAAAGGTTATGAACTGAACTTAATATGCTCTCAATTTGAACAAGAATGAAACTTTCATTTGTTACTGTTGTTCCCAAACATTTAACTTCAATACATTTTGAAGGATCTATTGTTGATCTTAATTTTATCATCTTTCCCTGCTTTCTGATGATGAGGTATTAGTTTTCTCTATGTTTGCTTCTAGGCGAGCCTACTTCCAAGGACCAATTTTAGTCGCTGGCTTCCCACCACAGCGGCCTGGGTTTGAGCCCAGGTCTGGTCAAGTGGGATTTGTGGTGGACAAAGTGGCACTGGGGCAGGTTTTCTCCAAGTACTTAGGTTTCCCTTCCAATCTTCATTCCACCAAATTCTCCATCATCATCATTAATCACCCGGCCAATAAGTGGCCGCAATGCCGATTGGACCCAGTTGGACTCTACCCCCACTAAACTGGATATACATACCACAATGGCACCTTTCTCCTGCATCCTCTCAGGAGTGTCGTGAAGGTCTGCAAAGTGTACTGCTACCTGGTGGTACATGGGCATGAGAAACTTTTCTCGGTCACTGATCTGCCGTTCTAGCAGTACACGCTCCTCTGGTGGGAAATTTACTGACTGCAACTTTGATTTTATTGAGATAATCACAGGGTCAATTCGGTGCATTGTCTTCACCAAGTCCTTAGTGCGGAACTTAATCTCAACAATACCTTCAGGCTCCAGCACTCCTCCCCTGATAACAGACATTGTTAACATGATACATCTAATGAATTTTGAAGTTTTTCTTACTATCATTCTTACAACATTATAAACTGAAAGTGACGCCAAAGAAGGTACCCTGAAGTCCTTAAATTCATTTTTTTGGGTATGTTACGGATATAAATAAAAAATATCATTATCTGTTCAAGACTTTCACTAGTTCTATGCATACTGTTATTAGCTTTCATTCAGAAGAACAGATCTAAGAAAAATCTGTTTAAGAACTGAGGTACATTTGCAATTTCAAAACAGTTATCAGAAAATTTGAAGGACTTCTTTAAATGCCATGAGCCAATTAGACTGGCCTGGCGTATTTTTGTTAAAACTGCTACAGCCAAAGAAGTCAGTTCAATTTTAATTACTTCCAGTAATTATGTCAACAGATGGCATCAAGTCCCATATATCAGTGTTTAGAGGAAGGAACAGGCTTTCACGCTATCTACACCTGCAGTCACATGGGAGTGATCTGTGAAAGTATTGTGGGTTTCTTTGTGCAACTGCATTTATTCCCAGACAGTCTTGGTGTTTCTAGCAGGTAGTTCTATGGCAGGCTTGGGAGTAAACAGGTAAAGCAAGCAGAATATATTTTATATAATATAAATATTTTTTAGGTCTTCACAGCAGTGACTGTTCTGACTGTATCTTCTAGACTGATATTTTATAGTCTCCCATGTAGATACCAACATTTCAGAGGAACACACTGCATCCATCTTTAGGAACTGAAGTAAACGGTAAGGATCATTTGTATTACACAGGCAGGTTGCTAGGAAGATAGTCAGATAGACCCATGTAGGGGAGAGAGGAGATGGAGCTCAGTCTGGGCCACCAAGAATGGTAAACAGGAAACAATAATTTCTGGTAAGAACTAATCGCCTACTTTCCTTTGATATGACATAACTACAAAGACTGCAAAAAAACATTTATTCCAAGAATTCCTTCCCTGTTGCATGATTGCACGTTATTGCCTAGCGATGGCCCAGGTGTTATTGACATGGAAGCATGTTTTGGTGGCTGTGTAAACATGTTTGCTGGCCATTGTCCAGCAATAGAAGATTTTTCTTGTTAAACTATTCTGGCTTTTAGTTATCATGTCACAATATCACCACAGAAGGTTTCACACAAATCAAAACAATGTGCAAGGGTTTTGCCCCTCCCCCAGTATCTTCCTCCCCTGAGTTCATTTCATTATAGTGGGAGAATGAATATTATCAATGTAAGAGACAGTACTGTACAAAACATGTGAGAAATTAGTTTAAAATGCTCTTTCTTTGGTATAGGAATAAGAATGTGAAGGACTAGGGCCTCTTATAACATGAGGAACCTGGGCTTACAGATTACTTAATGACACTGTATGAAATAAGGTTTATTTAGCACTGAATGAGATTGGAAGATAATTATGTAAAACAACACCTGCTCTCTGGGTCTGCATACATCTCCATGTGCCGAGGATTGATGGTTGTGTCCACTACAGCCCAAGCTCCTCCACGTAACTCTCCATTTGGTGGAATGTATATCAAGATTGGCTGGTTGTACTCCCGCAACCCATCCACAATGTAGGCTCCAAACTTCATTATTTGTTCATACATGTCTGCAAGAATAATTGATTACACTCTCTAATTAAACTTAAATTCTGATATTATGAAAAAAAAGTATATAAAGATTTATATGGTATAATTATGTTGCAACTTTTTAAATTTTTAATTTAATTTGCATCTAATTATTACTTCATTCAGCATATTTACCACATCATCACCATTGTCGTCACCATCACCAGTCGCTGTCATCACTGATGATGATGATGATCATAATGATTATTATTATTGTTATTGTTGTTATTATTGTTGTTATTNTATTATTATGACGACGATGACGACAATGAAAACAACACTTTCGCTCAGTGTTCTGGCATTAAAATTAATACACAGTATTTTCTACTGTTGTGTTTATTTAAAAATATTAAGATGCATCTTAAGGATTAATTTCATATTCCAGTCAATGTTTTCCAGTGTAATGTTTTCAGTTTTGGTACAGATACTTGAGTCATGGTAATGCAACTCAGTAAATAAGTGTAGCATTTAATTCCGTTGACAGATCACTTTGTTAATATACTGACAATAATCATACATACTTAATGAGCTACACAGCTCTTTTAGCATCTGGATATTCCTCAGCAAAATCAATAAAGTATCTACAAGTGCTGGTCCATTAGGAAACCTTAAACTGAGGAATATTAAATGGGCATCCCATTGTATTCAGGATTCTGACTAAAATGTAAATGTTTATGCCATAAGACACATCCTTCCTTTAAAAAGGATAACAATTATGTATGTGTGGACAGTAAATATCTGCTTTTGTTTGGCACAAAGGGCAATCCAACAGATGTAACAGTATTTTTTCTATATGAAACACAATAACCAACATAAGCAGTGGCATGAAAAGACACAGATAAGTGATAAGTTTCTTTTAATGGTTATGCCAAAGTTTGAGACTTGCCCTTCATTCCTCCTGAAAACCCTCTCCAGTTAGCAAAGATGATTAGGGGGAGACCCTCACGGCTGAAGTCTTGAATGGCTTGAGCAGTTTTGTAGGCCGAGTCTGGAAACCACACTTGACCTGCCTGTGATACAGTCTACAAACACAAATAACATTCAGGATTAATTTTATGCCAGAGGAATTGTTTGTGGGATGTCGTATGAATGAATAGACAACCACTAGTTGAACTGTCCTATAGGATCTATTGCAGCTGCACAGTATACACAGACGGATAACAATAGTGAACTGCTCGAACACTGAACTGGTATTGAAGAACGGTAGAACTAGACTCTAGACTGTCACTGTAACTCAGTGTATCTTCTTATGTAGCCTAGAATCGGACATATAGAAAACGGTTGCGTAATAGGTACTGCTATTGCCAGTTACTGTGTTTGTAAGTTCCCTAGCAACCGCTGTTTACTTGCTTCTGCCTAGCAACCGTTGTTTACTCGTTGTTGCTAAGCAATGATGCTTGCGTTGTCACACTTGCTTGAATGTGGGCAGTTCCCACATGTTCATGTTCTTCCAGTTAAAAATCAGACATAACTAAAATCTGTTTATGACATCTCATCTCATCTTGTATGTATACCATGTCTTATTAGAAGTTATTAATTAACAAGTTCTGGGCAGGACTAATGAACCAACTTCCTTTACCATGATCTACTTTATATAGATATGCCAGAATATAAAAGGAATTAATAGCCAGATTATCATCTTCTTGGACATGATGCTATGTAGTTTGGTAGGTAGGTACCAACATTTCAGAGGAACCTGCTGCCTCCATCTTGAGGCAGATTAGTTTAGAGATGTATCAGTTTGCAACATCACACACTTGTCAAACCTGAGCTCAGAGTTTTGTACTGTTATGTTTGTAATATTTTACTCATAGAACATCTAATGTAAGATATGTAGGTGTATTTATAAACTATTTCCACATCACCAATCTCTTAATCCATGGACAATGCAATGAAATATTATTATGTCATAGTTTTTACATACTTATGTACAATCAAGTATGATAAGGCAATGCTTCAAGAAGAATACCTTTGCTTCTGAGTCGAGGTTGGCAGGGTCAGCTGGCAGGTTGAGCTCTACTGTGCGAGTTTCAACAGCTATCACTCCAACAGGGATTCCACACAAACGGGCACGTCCACACACCACAGTCTGTGCCCATGGTAACATAATTTCATCCCATGATCCACGGTCAAAAAACCCACTTTCCCATTCATCTGAATTATCTGTAATATGTCAAGGATTTATAAAAGATGCCTATAAACATATAGAGACTACACTGATATCCATAAACTAATTTATTTATGTATCTAATAGTAGGTGTTCATGTTAATGGCACTTTTTTTAACCAATGTGATAACAAGAGTGGAAGATGGAGGTAGTATATTCCTCCAAAACACCAATAAACTTCTACCAGACTAGATGGCATAACATCACAGAAAATAGTACATCTTCATAGTCACAGCAGTAATAGCCTCAAATCGCACACAGTGTCACAATACAGAAGACCACAAAACGTTTTAAATGATATACAGTAGGATATCTAAATAAATAAAAATTTAATGTTCGTTTGTTCAAATTCATAAATTCCCAAACGTTCTTCACCAATTTCTTTGAAATTCTGACACACCATTACATTCGAATACGCACGTTTTCAGTGTTTCCGATTGCATTTTTAAATTGGATTTTCATAGATTTCGATTTATTTTCATTTTGATTTAATTATTTTGTGTGACATTGCGTTGGAATTGAGTTGTTTCGTTTACCATAGCGTTCATTTTGTGAGTATAGTTTATTTTTTTTCTTCTTTCATTGCTTTTCATTTAGTTTTCTTAACTGCTTTCCTTATTTTTCAGTGCAATTGGCGGTGGAATTGAGCTGTGTCGATTGATCTGCGTTTGAATTGAAATATTTTGTTGGTATTTTTATTTTTTCTTTCTTGTTTTCCGGTTTGTGTTCTTTCCTTTTTTTAATGTTTTGCAATTTTATATGTTTTTTTATAACTTTCTTTCTTCTTCTTCAGTGCAATCGATNTTCTTTCTTGTTTTCCGGTTTGTGTTCTTTCCTTTTTTAATGTTTTGCAATTTTATATGTTTTTTTATAACTTTCTTTCTTCTTCTTCAGTGCAATCGATCTGCTTTAGTTCATCCAAATAATGCCTCGCAGAAGATCAAACTTAGGTCGTCGTACTCACAGAGTGGAAGCAGTGCGACGAGTAATTGCAAATCAAACTGGGCAAAGAATGGCTCAAATACGTACCAGACTGAGCCACAGCAACATGTGGCCGGGTACAGGTAGTAAATAAATATAAATAATATAAATAAATTAATTGCCTGGCAAGAAAAGATTGCCGCAGAAACGGAAGCGATCAAAGCAAGGACGAGAGCCATGCGAGAAAATATTGGCACCAGACACAAGGAGATGGTTGTCGAAACCAAACCAGATAGAGACATGGAGACTATGGCCTGCTGAGAAACGACGGAGGTGCATCTAGAAGAAGGGACGATGGCCTGCCAAGAAATGGAGGCATGTCCAGAAGAAGATGAGCCGACCTCAGTGGACATTAAACCTGAGGTGGCAATGTGACAAGAGGTACCTGTAGAAGACGCCACAATAATGCCAGTTGGAGAACTGAGGAAATGGTGTAGGGACCAAAAACTGGCCACGGAGCACCGCCACCAGAAACTGAAGAATTTAGCACAGGAAAATTGTGAACTCCCAAAGAAATTGGCCATCGCCCGCAGAAGGACAACATGCCATGTGAAATTGGCACAGCAAGAGCAGGAAACCAACAAGATGTCCTGTCGCACAACAGTGGCACGACATATGAGACACATCTTCAGGCAGAACATGACCCACCATGCAAATGTGGCACGGAAAACACAAACCGATGGGAGGATGTCCCGTCGGGCAACAGAGTCATGACTCAAGATAGACATCCTCAGGGACACCACCCAGAAAGAGTGGACCCCACAAGAGATTGGGATTCGCCAGCAAGGGGATGACCCACCATGCTACAGTGGCACGGCTCAAAGGAATCGCCAGAAAGAACTGGGTCAGGGACAGCGTACTGAGAGGAACCGTGAAAGGACAGACATCTGGGAGGAGACGTCAGCTGCAACGGAAATGCAGCTAGGGCATAAGAAACCAAGATGCAGAGGAACTGCTACACCTGAGAAAGAAGAGAGTAACCACGATGTTCGTCGAGTTGCGGAGAAACTCGATGTTATTAAGGTATCAGTGTCCTCCAAAAGACAAAACAAGGATTGGACACTGGAGGGGTCGACCCCCTCCAAAACAGAAGAAAGGAAACGGCCCATATGGGAGGAAGCGGTAACATAGAAGTACCAGCCTCCCCCACAAGGATGAAAGGAGAATGAAAGCGAGGAATGAATGTGAGACAATTGGACCAACAAATCCTGGACCATGGCAGTGCTTGGGACGAGCACCACTGAAGAGAGGGGCGGATGCGGTAGAACAAACAGAGCAAAAAGATGCCAGCAGAACACCATAACTGAATGCAGATGTTGCCAGCAGAACACCACGGAAATGGAAGAGAGGAAGAACCTTTAGCTGTTCGGGATGAACAACCTTTAAAAGGGAGCAATGTCATATGTTTGGAATACAGAAGAGTTACTACCATGGAAACACTAGAACAGACCACTGCATAAGAAGTAACAATAGCGGCATTGTAATCCTAACAGTGAGCCACTGCGTAGAGATGAGTCTCCACGGTTACGACGAATACAGGGAGTCCCCACAGTGACAACGCAATAACAGTGGGCCATTGCCTGGGGCAAACAAACACGTTTCCTATGAGATGAAAGGTAACAAATTGTTTGAAGCATTGCATGACAACGGAAGGTTCATTGCATAGCAACCGCCAAGGTTATAATAGCCAAGCTTCGACAAGAGACGAGTTAGTATTGGGATAGCCGTCGCTGAAGACAGATGAGATCCAGCCACGGCCAAGGACAGTATAAGCATTGGATAATTGGGTCAGAAGTCAAGTGACACTGCAAGTGGTGATAATTGTAAAGTGTATAAGTGAAGAACAATAAAGATTCGCTAAATCCGACACCCATGTGGAGTTATTCGTCGCGTGACATACCCAACACATGACAATATAGTAATCATTCCAAGAGCAAGAGGATTAGAGTAGTTACTTCCTTTTTAAAAAATAAACTACATTTTATATAATTAAATTATATAATAATAAATTATAACTGTGTAATGGATAATATCATTTTAGTGACTTCAGAAATAAACTTGTGGACAATAAATGAATAAACTGAAATGAGGTTCAAGAAAAGTACAAATGAAATAACTAGGAGAAAGATAAAGTAAGGACTTAAGTAAAATCTTTACAGGAAAGAGTACATGAATCAAACACAATGGAGTACAGCCAGGTTATGTAGACTGAAAATGGCAGAACACCAGGGGCAACTTTATACATGAAAATAAAGATTAATTAATGGGATTGGAAACTAAAACATGCATCATAATTAGTATTGCACATACTTGGATTCTGTCGACCTGCTAGCATCCACCTTGGATCATATGGGGCTTTGGTAGGCATGTAGTCGATTTCTCGGTCTATAGGATCAACTGACTTTATAAAAGGCACTGGAGACAGTTTGTCCTGGGAAAAAAAAAAAAAAGCATAAATTCCCCCTATAAATTATTCAGCCAAGATATAATTATTACTGCATACAATTCATATCTTACACAGAGAAATCTAAGAAGCCATTCTGATACCAGGCCAAATGTATTTCAACATATATTCAATCATGTAGCTTGGCTGAAGGACACAAGAACTGCATACAGAATTCTGGCGAAGATAACATTGGAATCAGGTACCATAATATTAAAATGGATCTAAAGGAAACAAGTTGTGAACTAGCTCAGTATTGAATGATTAGTGGTGTAAAATCTACACGTTCTTTTACCAGAGAATTAATTAGCTATGCCAATTAAGATTCACAGGAAATTACAAGGCAAATATCCTGATATTTATAACGATTCTTTATGTAACTGAATGGTAAAAGGTAATGCTGTCCCTGTAAGAGGATGCTGAGGGCCATAGGGTTGTGAGACATCAAAGCTCCCACATTTTCTAGACAATCAGCTCACACATGGCAGTGAGGTTGTCAGCCTTACATGCTGGTTGCCCTTTACCCCCAGGAAGATTCCTGGTACCCTTTTCTGTTAGAGACTGAATTGACCCCGGGGCCATAATGTGGCTGGAAGGATTAGGCCAACTGAAAAATCCAATGACCTTATCAGGAATTGAACCCACAATCTTCCAGCTTGTAGCATAGTGCCTCAACCAACTATGCTAATGCATAGCCTTCATGTAACAGAATATGATAATAAATGCTTTATGAGGGGGTACCCAAAAGAAACTGAACTTATTTTTTTTAAACTTATTTATTCAAATTTTAAGCACAGACCTTCAATCCCCTTCAAAGTACTCTCCACTTACACTAATACACTTGTCTAGTCTTTTATTCCATTTTTCAAAACACTGTCTAAATTCATCTTCTGAGATGCTTGACAGCACCTCCGTCGTTTTTTCCTTCACCTCAGCAACATCAGCAAAACGCTTTCCTTTCATGTCTCTTTTCATTCGAGGAAACAAAAAAAAGTCGCAATGGGGCAAGGTCGGGTGAGTATGGAATGTGAGGAACAGGGGTCATACCATTTTTGGTCAAGAATTGTCATACAGACAGGGCTGTGTGAGCAGGGGCATTGTCATGATGGAAAAACCAGTCACCTGACTGCCACAAATCTGGCTGCTTCTGCCGCAAACTGTTGCGCAATCTTTTCAAAACTTCCAAGTAGAAAGCCTGGTTAACTGTCTGACCCTGCGGAACAAACTCTGAATGGACGACTTCTCTCACATCAAAAAAACAAATCAGCATTGTTTTCATGTTTGATTTCACCTGACGAGCTTTCTTGGGGCGAGGCGAACTTGAAGCCTTCCACTGGCTTGATTGTTCCTTTGATTCAGGATCGTAAGCATAGCACCAGGTTTCATCACCGGTGATAATTTTTTAAAAAAGTTTTGATCATTTCGGGACTCTTCTTTCAAAGCACAGCATGCTTCCACGCGACCTTGTTTTTGTTCAGCAGTCAGCAGTCGTGGCACGAATTTCGCAGCCACCCTATTCATTCCCAAATCTTCTGTCAAAATTCACTGAACTGAGCTCCAAGTCACTCCCAACAGCTCCACAATTTCTTCGATGGTCCGTCGTCAATCTTCCTTGATGATTTCACGAATGTTTTCAACATTTTCATGTGTTCGGGCCGTGGAAGGATGACCAGAACGAGGTTTGTCATCAATTGACATTTCACCATTTTTGAAACGGGAAAACCACTCAAACACTTGAGTTTTCCCCATAGCATCGTCCTTGTATGGTGTTTTTAACATTTCAAGAGTTTCTGTTCCACTTTTCCCGAGCAAAAAGCAGAATTTCACTGCCGCACGCTGTTCACGAAAATCAGCCGTTGCAAAAATGATGATCACACAAAACAGTTGTCACTATAAACTCTGCCAAAACTAGTCCTTACCTTCTGAAGCAACGGTAGTCGGCTTATCGACTCAGGAATGTTAGCTCTATGCGCTGATAGCGGCAAAATGCGGTACTACAAAAGCTCTGCCCACAAAAAAATTAGTTCGGTTTCTTTTGGGTACCCCATCGTATATAAATGAAGTGTGTAACATTGTTTTCATACCTTAGGAACATAAGAGAGCCACTTTAGGATAGTATAGATGCCATCTAGGTCACGAGGATCTGTTTTATGGGAAATACCATTGTTGTACATGATCTGGATGCCACCTAATTGATTGTTGGAAGCATATACCTCGCGTCCAAGTAGCTGCAATTAACATGATGTTAACAATGGAATAATTCAAGTCAACTCTTTACCTATTTAATGCCTAATCAGGAGCCCAAAGGTCAATTATAATGTAATCACAAGCAAAGAAGGAACACACACACACAAACACAAACAAAAAATAAAAGACAAATTGTGTCATTCAGACAATAATCACTATTCAATAAGTGCAGTCATACCAACCAATGTGTGGTGAGAAAATAATGTCGATGATGATGATGATCTTGATCATGATCATGAGGAGGAGGAGGAGGACAATAACTTAATTAAAAAACGAAAGAGTACTACTATGTAATCTGACAATAAAGTTCGCGAACTCATTACAGTAAAAGTGCTACATACTTCATTGCTGAATATCAGTGTGGTTGCCTTCAAAGTACTCAATTTGGGAAGCTATGTACCAATGCCAGTGCCTAGTCTACCCTTCAAAACAATTTTGGAAATGGTTTTGTGGAACAGCCTTCAGAGCTGCCATCGTATTACTCCTGATGTCATCAATGTCATCAAAATGCCTTCCTTTCAGTATTTCCTTTATCTTCAAGGACAGAAGCGGGAGCTAGATCAGGTGAATAGGGAGTGTACTCCAGTACAGTTATTTGTTTACTAGCTAAGAACTCCCTCATAGACAGTGCTATGTGAGAAGGTCCTTTGGAACAATTTTTGCACACACCTTCCTCATGACAAGATCTTCAGTTAAGATTTTCCTGACTGTTTCTCTGTCAATATCTGCTTCCTCTACTATGCTCTTGACAGTTAGCCAACGATTTCACGCATAATTTACGAACTTCTGCCACGTTTTCTTTAGTTCTTCTCATTGCTGGCCATTCTGATCTCTCTTCATCAGTGACACATTCTCTTCAATCAGAAAAAGTTTCACCCATTTGTAAACTGCCGTTTTCTTCATAGCATTATCACTGTAAACTTACACTAACATCTCTCTGATTTTGCTCACCTTCTTGCCAAGTTTAACAACAAATTTAATGTCTGTTCCAACATTCTCATGACAGCACACCAAAACACACTCGGACAATAATAGATGCCGCTCAGAAAGCGACTGCCATAGATCAACAATAACATAGCTGTGAAATGCTGATAAGCCATTATCATCAAATCATGCTGAGGTTTCTGTCCACTGCTGCCATGGCAAGCACACAGTGGCGAGTTCACAAACTTTATTGTCAGACCTCATATATCATTCACACTCACAATGAACAGTTTGAATATACTGTAATACAAATACAAAATCCTAGGCTGCCTACAATAGCTGTGAAAAGTGGAACGATATATTTTCCCTTGAAAAAATGAATCAGACCCATGCTTCAGATCTGGTATGTTAGTGCAGAAGTATCTTGAAACTGCAGTTAGAAACGTAGAATATGTTAAGGATATTACATCATACTAATCCCTTCATTAGTATGATATTACAACTGTAACTATACATGCCATCTATAGAAGATAAAGATGATGCTTTAATGAGGAATTACACTGCACATGTCATTGATCCTGTGAAAGTTTTGCCAGGAGACTTCAGTGCTAAAATTTGCAAGGAGGACACTTTCAAATAAACTATAAGTAACAAAAGTTTACATTAGTAACAATACTGAGGTGAAATAGTGAACTTGGCCAGATCAAAAAGTTTTATTCTCAAAACGCCACTTTTCTACCTTGTAATATATATATATACACACACACACACATATATATGCACATTTCAATATCCTCATGGCAATACACAATCAGGCTGACCACAATCTTGCTGGACATTACAAATAAGTGTGATAACACCCACACAATTTCTAAATGATCATCACAAAAACTGTAATTCTAGAATGACTAGTGTTTTACAGGCTTTAGAAAATGAATTTTCAAGAAACTAATAATTCCACAGAAATACAATAGTTACCCAAATACCCTGCACCTTTTAATAAGTGGCACATCCCATCTTTTAAGGAAAAACTGTAAACAAGTTTCTATGATCTTTCTGAAGTATTAAAGTATAAATTCTGAGTTATAAGTCTCCATAATACACAATGTTTTGAAATTTGAATGTGATGCTTTTCACTTGGTTCTTCTAGAGTTTCGTACTTCCCATATCAGATGTTCTGGCAGATAGATCTTATTTTTATAATACATAAATCACTTCTTGCAAAAAGAAAAAATTCAACATTCACCAACAGTTTGCATTGGAAGCTGGACACAGTGTCCTTTTGCCATTGCTAAGCCCTTTCACTGCCACATTTCAGCTGACACTGCATAACTGCACTGCCACTTCTCCCTTATAGGTTTGCAAAGTTTACTTCTGCTTTAAAATGTTTTGTTTTCTTGCACAAACAGCCCTCCAACTACAACTTTTTTGCAGCAATAACCCCTCATCTTTCTTCCATCCACAAAACAGCTTTCACTAATGTCATATTAACTACCAGGAGTGAGACTTCAAGTTTCTTGTGCTTTCAGTTTTTTGCTAACCATAACTTCATCTGTAATAGCCCTGTACTTACCAAGATATATGCATGAGGCTACTGTAAGTCATGAATCATTCAGAAACTCATTCTTACCTTATTGAGAGCAATGTAGCCTGTCAGGATAATATGTGAATTTTCTATCTGAATCACCCTTTGTCCAAGTCGAACCAGATAGGAACCAATGCCTATAGCTCGACACGTCACCATAGATATTGTCACTACTTCTTTGTATGCTTGTGATGTTTCTCCAGCAATCATACCAGCATACCGCAGGTTCTCCACACCTAGCCCATCATCCTTACCTGTAAGACATTTAAACATTTTAGTAACAGCAAAAGATGGACAGATCCTACAACAAAAAATAAATAGGATTACAAATGAGTTGCATTCATGGTTTTATGCAAATAGCCTGACACTAAATGCTGAGATAACAATAGCAATGCCATTCCACACTAGGCAAGAAAGAGATCTAGTGAAACCTCAAATGAAATTTGGCAATATGGATACTTCCTTTAAATCATAAACAAAATTCTTAAGCACACACACATTAGTGCATACATGAAATGGGATGCACATGTAAAGTCACTAATTTCCAAACTCAGTAATTTTGTTATATGGTTAAATCTCTTAAGTATGTAATCGTCACACTGCATGTAACTAAATTTGTTATCCTTCTACATATCAAATGTCATCAACATTTTCTTTGTTAATGAAACTGTCAATCCATACAAAGTTCCATATTCCTGCTCATCTGGGTCTGAAAACCATGAGCCAGCAAATAAACTGCCCATGTTCTCCTTCCAAGGAACACCACGCAATTTTGTACAAAGGAAAAATGTCCGGCTACAACCTCTTATAGAGTACAGCCATACTCAATAAATAACGCACAAGATTTCCATTTCACAGTTAATACTGGTAATAATACACACCTATGATGTCTGTGATTTTGTATCGAGGTTCTCCTTCATCATCAATAAGAATAGCATGAACAGAATTCATGGCAGACACTTTGGTGAAGTCCTCTGGTGTTAAGTACAAGTATTTGAAACCCTAAATGAAAGAGAAAAATAGGACTTTCATCACTTTTGGTAATACAACATATATAAACCTTTCTTAGCAAGGCATTCTGCTGCAAAAGGAACAAGCATAAAGAGGTTCTGTATCAGTCTGTTTTTGACCCCAAAATATTGGCACTTTCAATATTGGCATCATAGATTACACAGCAGCAGTATGCAAAAGTATGCTGAAGAAATTATACCACACTTTCAGCACCCTCAACACACTAAAGCAATGTCACCAATTTCCACTTCGGGACTAACCCCTACTGAAGTGTATCCTTGCCAGCATGGTGTCTCTATAATATTATTCATTATCAGCCATAGTCTTGCTTTACCAACTGATGTATTGTGGACTCTATGGACTCTCAGTTGTCCTACAGCTGGAGGCAATACGTTCTCTGATATGTTGGTCGACCTTCACTGGACTATGTAGCATTATATCTCAGAAGACAGATGACTTCATAGTAATTGCTGTGAGCATCTCAAACCAACACAACATTAAAACTGATTTCACAGACTCAGCTGAAGTAAATTACCTTATCAGGTTCCTCAGGATCCTCCCATGCAACCCTGAACAGCTGTTTGATCTCTTCAGCTAGTCCAATTCTTGCCCCACTGTTTGCAGCAATGTAGATTCTTGGAATTTTTAGCTTTCTTGCTAGTTCTGATGCCAGGCAGAATACGATATCTTCACGGGGCCCAAAGGAGCCAATTAGGTAGGTGATGTCATTAGCTATTACTATGATGTCACGACCAGATGGATACTCTGGTGTGTGGAGTGTAAGACGCCAGGCAATCATGCCTATCTGTGAATAGGGATTATACACAGATTAACAACAATAATCCCAATGAATATTTCTTGGAGGGAATATAAATTATACAACTAAAGTGAATGAAGGAAATTTAAAAATGAAATTATTAACTGAATAAACAAAACTGAACTTTAAATGAGGGGGAAATCTTGAACTAAGGCACACAAAATGTAGGTTCCACTGTATTTAAAACATGCACAAAGAGAAGGATGACAACATCCATTTGTTATTTTTGACAGTTGTGCCTTCTAATGTCTTGTATCAATTAAAATAGATAACAAAGCTTACCAGCTTCATTGCCAATTCATCTATTAAATTCATGTTACACAGCCTTCCTTGAGAAGGTTGTAATTATTCATCTGATAAAGAACGATTCTTCACATGAATGTTTATCACCAGTATCACAAAACCCTCCAATGGAAGCCCTTTTCAGTTAATTCAATGCAGTACATATCTTCATAGTCTAAATGTCTAAGATAACATTTCCTCCTACATTAAATTCTCACCTATGCTTATGTCTCCCTAGTAATAGATTTCTTTGGGGATGTCCAAAAATATCTGTATGACTTTCTCATGTCCCACCAATCTCATCATTCTTGATTTAAACATCTTAATAATATTAGGTGATGAGTTCACACTGTGATGCTCCTCATTATGTAATGTTCTTCCCATTTTCCTGTGATGTTAAATCTTACAGGAAATATGTCTATATCACTTATTATTATTATTACCCACCCCTTGAATATAGGTGAAGCAAGGTGAAACTCATAAGGGAAGTAGTACAGAGTAACAAAAAGAAGCCATAAAAAAATAACTTATATTCCCAACAAAACGGACCTATAAATTTTGAAATAGATGAAATCAATTTAGAAAAGTTCAACATTAAAGTAAAAAGGAAAATACAAAACATCTTTATGTTTTGCTATTTATAATTTGTTACAAAGAACAGAGGTTAAAAAAGTAAATATACCCCTACTGGTGCTAGTTTCCAAGTTCACAAGTGAGATTACACTACTTACTTACTTACTTACTTACTTACTCACTCATGGAGCTGACCCCTTCTGGAGGCCAATCCAATTCTGCAGGTACTCAAGAGATTTCAAACATTTTATGGAACCCGAAGGTTCATTACTGCGTCCACAAGAGCCCTCCACTGGTCCCTATCCTCAGCCAGATCAATCCAATCAATACCATCCAATCCTATCTCTCGAAGATCCATTTTAATATTGTCCATCCACCTATGCCTTGGTCTTCCCAGTGGTCTCCTTCCTTCTGGCTTACCTACCAATATCCTATACGCATTCCTCGCCTCCTCCATTTGTGCTACATGCCCTACCCACCCCATCCTCCTTGACTTGATCATTGTTATTATACTTGGAGAAAAGTACAAGTTATGAAGCTCCGCTTTATGTAGTTTTCTCCAACCTCCTGTCACTTCATCTCTCTTCGGTCCGAATATTCTCCTCAACACCCTGTTCTCAAACACCCTCAGTCTATATTTCTCCCTTAATGTCAGAGACCAAGTTTCACAACCATACAGAACCACAGGCAAAATTATAGTTTTGTATATTCTAATTTTTATGTTTTTGGACAGCAGACGAGAAAACAAAAGGTTCTGGACTGAATGATAGCAAGCATTACCCGAGTTCAATCTCCTCTTAATTTCCTCCTGAATCAGGTTTCGATCTGTTATCGTTGTTCCCAAATATCTGAATTGTGCCACATTTTCAAAACATCTGTTTCCTATCTTTATATCAAGATTTTGCCCTGCAATTTGGTGATGAGACAGCAATATATACTTAGTTTTCTCAGTGTTTACTTCTAGACCAACCTCTTTACTTCCATCAATTAAAGTTTGTGTGTTTTTCTTTATGGTATCTACATTATCACCGAGTAGATTCACATCATCAGCACAGGCCAACAGCTGATGTGTCCCATTTAATTTCACACTATATTAAATTAATCTTTTGCTTTAATAACTTCATATATGCACAAATAATACCAGCCAAAAGCTTATTAAGAACTACTGGTTGTATACTCCAATCAGTCTTTTGTTCCTGAAATTCTGAACAGTCATCAGATTTTCAAATATGTTGCATATAGCCATTCAAAAAAACAATATTTTACTAGAATGGCAAGTTTAACCAGATCATGTTTTACATTATAAACAAGATACCTATATGGATAACTACACTAATTCTTACAACATACGTTATTTTCTCCTGGCAGACGTTTCTGTTCAACTAGATGATCATCTCCTTCCAATACCAGTTCCACACTATCCATAACTTTTGAAGGGATTGTCAGTTGCTCTGTAATAAACAACCTGTATAGTAACAAACAGCGTTTCACTTTAATGAAGCTACATAGCACATTCCTCACTAAAATGATACAAATTTCTTGACTGAAACCCCTTAATTATCATTGGTTGTGTGTTGATTACAAGGTCAGTGAATTGAACAGTACAGCTAACTAAGCACTGCATTTTTTCAATTTAGTACAATTACTCCCAAGTTAAAACATGACTGCCAAACATGTGCACAGAAGTTATTACCTTTGTTAACCGGTTCACGGCTCTGTGCTTCACAGTAACTGGCGCATTGTCAACTGCGAGGTGCATATGAATTTTGCCAATGAATCAATATGACTGTTGACCAATAACATTCAGAAAAGTATTTATAATTCACAGATCACAGGGGGTGTTGAAAATACTGACCCCTATACATAGACAATCCTCGCACTGGCAGAAGAGGCTCTGATTTACCCTTTCAAGCTGTTCTGCAGGAATATTTGCAATTTCCTTACAAAAATTTTCTTTTAGTTCTTCTTCCATTCATGGGTTAATATTGCTAACTTCGTCATTCAAAGAAACCCAGAAGAAAAAAGATTAAGATAGGTGAACTTGCTGACCAAATACCACTGCTGATAATTCTGCCCCCAAACACACTGGACAAAGCCTGCATAGACATATGTGCAGTGTGGGCAGTAGCTGAGTCTTGCTGAAACCAGCCATACAGTCATCCTTCTTCTGTTAACTCTGGAAAGAACTGCCCAAGAATGACTTTTACATATATTCCATAAATAACTGGTTCATTAGAAAATGCAGGTCCAATAATCCTGCTTGCACTTAGAGTGCACCAGACACCAAATTTCAATGGACAGAGCAGGACTTCATGATTTAGATGTATATATTCTGTGAACTCCAGTAGTGATTACTTTGCGCTTTTATGTACCCCTGCAAGTGAAACCATGCTTCATCAGAAAAAAATGCCAATCACAGAATCTCACCTTTGATGACATAATGTAGAAACCACTGCAAAATTGAAACATGCTAGCTGGATCACACAGCTATTAGAGGTGGATTACTGATGCTTTATAGGGTCTAAGCTTCAGCAATTGAGTTACTGTTCTTGCATTAGACTTTTACACTTCAGTATTTTCAACTAGACGTTTCAGTGACTTTCAACATGTATGTCCAAGTCTGGCCCCTATGGCATCTTTCTCCTCAGTAAGCTTTTGGAGCTTATGGTTTTGTTTCTTGTCTATTAAGAGTCCTGTCGATCTACAGTTATTCATCAAATTGTGAACTGCTTGTCCTCTGCGAATCTTTCATCAAAATTTTCACAAACACTTTCTAGCAGATCTATATTTCACGTAGGTGTCATACAGAAATACACATTGCTCTAAAGCATACCGCACCATGAGGGAACACACTGCTCATTAACTGTAACTGAGAACAAATGGCTAATGAAGCTGATAATCGCTGCGCACAGTGGACAAATTGTAAACATGAACCGCAATACTCGCTGTGAGACACAATGCCATCAAGTGGTCCACAAAATTAAGGGAAGTTATCAGCCATCAGACATACTGATTCATTGGCAATATTCATATATGCCTTGCAGCCAGTGGTGCATCGGTTGCCGTGAATAATCCAACAAACGTAAGAACCTTCCTCTATAAGGAGGAAATCCAAATCCCCTATTCTCTGACAACAAACTGTTACCTTCAAATTAAAATGCCACCTGGGTGGATTTCAGAATACTGGAAGATGAAAACTTATTGAAGCCTGGACTGTAAATAGAAATACAATATTTGTATATGTTCCCCTTGGCTTTATTGGAAATGTACAGAGCCTTTCTAAACTAAGTTACATTTCTGAACAAGCATATCTCAGAAATGAATACAGCTATACATATGAAATAATATACATTGCATTCAACAATTTTCCCAGAGTATTTTCCAGTTTCATAAATGATCTATCTGGTGTTCTCACATAATGCTGACAATGTCCCAGCAATGTCCCAGTGGCAACAATTGAAACAATCCTTGATCTAAGTTTGTCAAAGAGTGGGCCAATGCATTTGGTCCTTGACGTAGCTGCGAAGGAAAAAATCTGCTAGAGTCAAAGGAGGTGAGCAAGGGAACCAGGCAATGGGCCATGCTTGATCAATCCTTGCACCAGAGAAGGTCTGCGTTGCCCTCATGTTTCACAGACACTGTAGGTTTTCTTTTCCTTGCACAGCGCAATACTGATTTAAATTTGAATTTGAACACCAAACTGAGAAAAATCTTAAATGAATGAGGTTTAACAATGAGATTATTGCCTAGGGATCATTGAAAATGAATGTTGAGACAAAACATTAAATTAAGGAATATTAAATGAGGGTTCCATTGTAGCCTGACATTCTGTCTGTTTGCTTTCTCGTTGGTGTAGAACATGATCTTACAGTTAGTCCATGGCAAGCCTAAAAATAAAAAATGTGGCCCAATCTGGGAAAGACCCTGTGTTCTAACTCTATACACAACATTAGTACATATTACCTACCTGCTGGCCACTCCTTGATGAACTCCTTCCACAGCTTCTCCGTCATTTGTCTGAACATGTCAGGGATGTCATACACATAGGTGGTACCCACACTCTGTGCCTGAAACCTCTTTTGCTGCAGATAATCTTTGGTCACATATGGTGTAGAGATAGGGAGACCATGCATAGGCCCTTGCTTATTTCCATAGGCTTCAAATTTGATCTGAAACAGTCATTCTGTTGAAAGCTAACTCTACCCTATAAACTCTTCCTTGAAAAGTTGACAATTATTCAACTGGTCAAGAGATTCTGTTTCTATGGAACCCAAAATCCATCACACTACTATCACAAAAGTGATCATATAAGCCAGAACAATAAAGTTTACATCTTCATCGCTTATTATGTCTGAAACTGATTCTGATATTATTCTTCGCATCTATGTCCAGACCTTGGATGTGTTCTTTTGTAATGGGGTTTACAAAAGTCAAATTTGCAACCCAATGTGGCTTTCTCCTGTGTGTTAAAACCATGGTGATCTTGATTTCTTCACCATTAAAATTTTAAGTGAAAGCATAAATTTCAAGCCTATCACTACAGTGTTGGACATTGCCCACTGTCATTTAATACACATTGTTTTTCCACAGTTGGCTGCACTTCTGTCTTCCAATAATCATTACCTTCATGCTAAAAGACATCTTCATTGTTTCTACACAGTCTAGTGGTTTCAACTTTGGAGTTTATAATATAATAATGATGATAGTGGAGATGGGAGATCATATCATACTCACCACACCTGTCTTAGGGTCAGTAACTTCCTTGTAAACCCAGATGTCCAGGGAGTAGCCACTATCATTTGCAAGACACAGCCTTACATTAGTCATCTTACTGTTTGGTGATGGTCTTATTGTCATCTTCAGCTCAGCTTGAAGTACCCGCAACTTCCACAGTCTAGGACCATATCGCATCACCATGTTCGTGACACTCTCTTCAATCTGTAGCATTAAATGCTCCGGATAATACTGTTTCTTCACAGTTGTGCACACATTACACCTTCTATAGTGCCAAACTGCATACTTTAAAGCTATAAAACCTACCTACATGGGTCATTTCATAAATAATGCACAGGTTGGCAACACTACAGATTAGTGACGCAAACAACAGTGAGCCTCACGTCAGTTACAGTTCAGGGCTTGAGAAAGAAGCGCGTTATTTTGTTTCATTTATAATGTACTCTGTTCTTAAATAATGTGAGTTAGAAATGGAGTCTGCACGGTTCTCGGGTATTGTGACTGTTGAAGATCAAAGGTCGTACATTAAGATCAAAACTTTACGTGGAAAAAACCCGACAGAAATCCACAGTGCTTTAAGTGAAGTTTGTGGCGAGTCAACATTGGACTGTACTACAGTTTCTCGCTGGGCTAGTCGTTTTCATGGCGGTCGTGTGAGCATAAACGATGATCCAAGGCCAAGAATGCCGAAAACATCAACAGATGAACAAAGTGTGAAACTTGTGTCAGATGCTCTTGAAGAAGATCGTCGTGCAACATGTGAGGAACTTTCTGAAACCATGGGGATTCCACCAATATCAATATTCCGAATTCTGACAAATGATTTAAAGAAGAGAAAGATTTCTGTGCAATGGGTCCCTCACTGCTTGACTGCTGAACAGAAGCAGAAACGTCTTGACATTGCAACCTTGCTGAAACAAAGATTCAACATTGAAGGTCAAGCATTCTTGTATCAACTTGTCGCTATTGATGAAACATGGGTTAGAGATTTTGAACCGGAGCTGAAATCACAGTCCACCGAGTGGAGGGGTCTATCTTCCCCATGACCAAAAAAATTTTGACGATCTCAATCAAAGGTCAAACAAATGATCTTTGCTTATGATCACCAAGGAATCTTCATGACAGAGTTCCGTGCAGGAAAAGTGTCACAGCAGTTTATTATCGTGACTTTATGCAAAATCTGCGCAGAAAAATGCACAAAAACCGACCTCAGTTGCTCGAGGCTGGGCCGATCATTCTCCATGACAACGCTCGCCCGTACATCAGGAATGTCGTAACAGAAAAGCTGCACCAATACAGTTTGGAGGTGTTGCCTCATGCTCCCTACAGACCAGACATGAGTCCACCAGACTCCGACTTACACGCAAAGTTGAAACAACCTATGCAAGGCCATCGTTTTCCCTCTCTGGAAGAGCTTTCTGCTGCAGTTACCCGAGCCATTTGACATATAAACAAAGATGGTGCCCTGGATGGAATAATAAAAAGCTTCCCACACATTGGGACTAAGTCATTGAGAAGCAGGGGGACTATATTGAAGGACTGTAGAGATATATTAAAAAAAAAAACATGGACGTAAACAAAAAATTGTGTGCATTATTTCTGAAATGACCTACGTAAATAGCAAATGACAATAGCATTAACATCAACAGAGAAGGAGGTTCACACTTATTCAAAGCATGGAATCTCACTGACAGATTATTAAGGCTCTTTTACGGTCAATAAAACCCCTTACTAATCCAAACCCCATCTATAGTCAATCTACCAAGTGACAATATCAACCCAGAGACAGATACTTGGGAAAATATACAAAAACTGGAAAGATTATGTTAAAATAGGCCAAGTACCTGGAACCCTGGGAAGGATAATGACGATGATGAACATCATCATACTACATAAAGGGCAGTTATACCTTAGCAGCATCCATGATCACAGTTGGCACAAAGTTAAGGAATATATGATTACAGTCGGTACGCTTTGCTTGAGGATGTGAAAAGGCCACTTCCAACTCATCCATAGCTTCCAAAAGCACTCGTTCTGCCTCATTTTGCAGGTACTCAAAAGATGCTTCCTTAGTTATCAGATCCGAATGACGGATAATGGACCGGACAAAAAACCGACAGTCTGTAACCTCCTGGCCCTTGGCCACCTGAAAATCAAAACAAATAAGAGATAAATATGACACTGAAAGTAATTTTTAAACTAATTAGGAATTTATATTTGTTTTATAGTTAACCCTTTAGTTCGTCAGGTTTCTTGTCATTTTCTCAGCTAAAGTGAAGTCATACGAATTCTATTTTGGTACATGTTTGTCCATTATATATTGTAACATGTTGCGCGACTGAGAACCCCCCTCCTCTCCACAGTAACGTAGCGCTCCCCGCCACTCCCCTCCGCGGTGACGTCACGCGGTGACGTAACGCGCAACGCTAACGTAACCGTAATCAACGTCCTACTGTGACGTGGCACTCATTACGCCACAGGCAAGCACTGCAGCTATATAAGTGGATGCACAGTGCGTATCGATCAGTTCGAGTTCGAGTTCCAGTGTGGCTACCGCCGAAGACATTCCGAGTTATAAAGTAACAGCCAGCCGACTACAAGTTGGAGTATAGCAGCCGTCGCGGAAAGAAGATCCGGACGTGTGTGTAATTGTGTAATTGGGAGCGTGTGATACAGTGATACCTAGCTCCCCTACTGTCAACGTGTAGACTACTGAAGACAGAGTGAACTGATTTGCGCATAGGGTTATAAGTCGTGAAACCCCGCAACAGTGTTAACAGATTAATGCGATTAGGGTTATAAAGTGTGAAACCCCGCAACTGTGTGATAATTAAGTGTAGCCGTTATTTGTAGATTGTTAAATAAACCAATTAACCATCTCTACGGCGTCTTCAGTAACGTAAGCACGTTACAATATATTATTTCATATGAAGCTCAAATTTAACTCCATTAATTTTCTCAAAAAGAAACCCATCATACGAAGAATTTGTGCATGACATAAAATACTGTGGCATTTAGACCCACTGACAGGTAATGACCACAAAATAAGCAGCTATATAATAGCCGTTGCTCTGTAAATGACTGTTGCTGGGTTATGGTTGCAACAGACATGAACACAACAATAGAAGAGCTGTTAGGAGCAGTGTTCTCTGTGCAGTTCATACCAAGGTTACATGAGGGCCAGCTGCCAGGAGACTGCATATAATAATGACTGAAGTGAAAGCCTTCAAATATTTATTAGAAACTAATCCCCATTCAAAAGTGAACAATTAAGTGCTAACATTAAACCGACCTTCCACAAAGCACTAATTAGATCAGTAATAACTTATGCCTGCAAAATGTCAAATTACACAACATGAAATTCTGTACCCCAACCTGAACACACTATACATTTCTCCAGAATGAATATAAGGCTAACATTTCCATTTCTATTTTCTAACAAAAATGGACATATTTTCACTCATTAATTTTTATGATGTGGAACTTACAACAAGCAGTACAAACAGTATTTTTACACGTTAATTTCTATCATCCATCCATGGCATTATTGCAATGTCACATGTGCGCAGAACAGCAGACCAAATGCTACATTTATGCAGTTCCATTATCCCTGAGATGAAATACAGCTACAAGACTGTAAAAGTGAGGGATTTAAAATAAACTATTATTTGTAAATTTAAATATGTAAACCAACCCCAAATTACCAGAATATTTAAAATTCCTCGCCCAAACAACAAACGTGACAGGACAATGATTACGTGGTAAGTTTGTGGACTGTGGTTTTATAGCATCATATTACAAGGTATTCACATACACTTACACAGATCCACATCAGCCCTCAAAATATTTGCTGTTGGCCACTATGCAAGTCTGCCAACATTGATATAGCTGCCGAAAACATTGCTGAAACACACTGACAGGAAATTCCCATATGGCATCTCTTGTGGCACTGACAACCTCCTCAGATGACTGCAATCTATGACCACCTAGCTTTGCTTTCAAGCAGTTAAAGAGAAAGAAATCACATGGTGCGAAATCAGGTAAGTACGGAGGGTGTGGCAAAATGGTGAACTATTGCCTTCCCAGTTCCTCTTGGACAAGAACAGAACAATGTGCAAGGGCACTGTCGTGTTGCAAGAGCCAATTCTTCCCATGCCAAAGCTTAGGACACTTACGACGAATTGAATCACATAGACGGATAAGGATCTCCTTGTACTTGTCCTTGTTTACAGTTGCTACATGTGGGATAAATTCCGCGTGAACAATTCCCAACAAGTCGAAAAATAGTTCAAGCATCACCTTGCCTTTTGACCTGTCCTGTCGCAGTTTCTTCTTTCTTGGCGATGATGACGATTTCTGGGTGGCCGATTGTCGCTTCAGTTGCGGATCATAAAGAAAATACCATGTTTCGTCTCCTGTAATCATCCGGTTGAGAAACGTCTCATCTTCATCAGCACTACTGATCAGAACACCGCAAATGGTCATGCAATCGTCATGTTGGCCTTACATCAGGACGCGTGGAACACAGTGCTCGGTAACACGCAACACGTTCAGGCCACCAATGAGAATTTTGTGGCATGTACCATGGCTTATCCCAACTGCTGCTGCGATATCTATCGATTGGGAGCAGTTGGCACGCACCAACATTGCAATTTCTTCGATCTTGTGTTCAGTTCTGACCACTTTTGGCCAACCACTATGGTCATCATCCTCCAAACTCCTCCCCTGCGCAAAACGTTGGTACCAGTTAAACACGGCATTGCAGCCCAAGGATGCTTCGCCATACACTTGCTTCATCATGTTAAATGTTTCGCTAGGGCATCTGCCTAGCTTTTGGCAGAACTTGATGTTTGCCCATTGTTCAAATGGCCACATTTTTTATTTCCACCACTCCCATTTAACTGCACTTCACAATAGAGGCCGTAGTTCTGCTTATACTGTTTGCACACAACTGCCTCTGGCCGTGACAAGAGATGAAGTGACAGGGCATCATATCATGACTCAAACTATCAGCCGTAGTGCAGTGCAATGATGCTTTGCAGCCAGTACACGAACTTAGTGACTATGGTAGTAGTTTCTTCAGGGGAATAATATATATAATAATATATGCCTGCACATAAAACATTACCTTGGCTTTGCCTAGATAAACATGCATTTTCTGGTTTGAGGTAGGCAGAGCTTCAAGATCATATGTGCGCATCCTATTGAGCTCCAGTTGGAATGCCATGGCTGGTTCAAGGTGCCTGTAGATTCGATCTTCAGTGAAGTTGTCTCGTCTTCGGTACGTGAAGAATTTTGGGAACTGGCGCCTGAAAGAAAATCACAGTTTATAAATCTTCATTCTTAGTTACACAACAATGCCATTCTTAGTGGATAGGTTACACAGTATCAAATGCTAGGGTGATTTGTGAATGATGTATTACAAAGAATATGGAAGGAAGCAATCTTTGTTTGCTCTGAGGTATTATTCTGACTGAAGAAAACAACAAAAGAACTTCAGCTGGCTTCTGTGTCTATATTTAAACTTGGGACCTTCAAAATATGGAGTAGAAATGCCAAGCACTCAAGCGCAACATTCTAATATGTGCTTGTTTATTAATTAAGTTTATTAATTAAGTTAATTAAGTTATGATAATTTTTATATTTCTATATGTACCTTGGTGATTACAAATTCTTGTTTTATTTTGCTTCAACTGATGAACAAGTACTAAGCACTACCAAATACCTACATAAAAGCTGAATATGTGAATTATCCTGTTGTTCCAGTAATAGAAATTTATATATCACAACATAATGCCAGAGTAAGCCTTAGCACATACAAGAATCCAAAATGAAGCACTTACTATAAGGAATAATGAAGATTTTAATCAACTGAAAGGCACTTCATGAGATGAATAATTCATTACACTACAAGTGCATTTATGATCAAATCAATCAATTGTATTCACTTCGGTTATGGACAAAAATAAAGTTCAATTTGAAATACAAAAAATTACATTTCATGTACTGTCCAACATGTCTGAAGCCTTATGACATTTTCAGAGGCACCTATTTATGAGTTTTACATATCTTATACAAACACTTTAAAAAGTTTAAGTAGTTTTTAATCTCTTGTAAATTATAGTGGATTCGCGATATATAACAAACAGACTGTTTGTATTAGTGAACATACTCATAATTCATATAAATTATGATAAATTCTTTGCTCATACTAAACCTGTGTCTAAAAATCTTATAAGCAATGGAAATTAATTATTTTTACTTCCATTACAGTTCAATTTCAGTTCTCACCTCACAAGTACAGCAAATGTAACCCGCCTAATGCCCCTGTTAGCAAGTTCTTCCCGATTACTATTGCAGAAGCCCCCAAACATTCGGCTCAATGTAGAATCGTCTGTGTCTCCATTATCCTTTATACCCACACTCAAGATATAGATGGGTTCAGATTGCTGTCAAAAAGAATCACCAATAAGTAGTTACAGTGAAATCATAACTCAACAACAGTAACAGATTTAGCATATTCAAATAATACTATACTTTATAACTTTGAACAGTTCAGTATTTCTCATGATCCAACATTTCCCACTTCATCTTGATTTACATATACACTTGGAAGCAACGGGAAGTTCCACTAGTCATCTGCTAAACAATAACTGTAAAGTCTAATTGTAATGATACTGCATTTTATTATACAGAATTGGATCTCAGGTGAGATCTGTGTATAGATTTTTCTGCTTAAACTTTGAAATTTTTATGTCTACAAAACATAGAACTTTTGAATTTGAAGAATACCAGGTCCCCATGTTTTGCAATGCTTGGACTGAAAATAGTTTGGATGTCTGCAGAATTACTGATCTTCATCACATATCAAGGCCCTTTAAGGTATACACATCAACTCTCAAAAGTAATCCAGTCTGTAAAAACTGACAAGTGGGTTTAGATTTGTATGTCAAAAGAATAAATTCAGAAAGGAGTTATTTTTCAGTGACCCTGTACATCTCATTTAAATGTACAGCTTCCATTCAAAATTATATTTTTTTATAGTGTGTATATTTAAATACATATGAGGAAAGAACATCTCCACTGTTCACTAGTTCTGTCAACTACAGATTTGTATCTGCAAAAAAAATGAACAGCAAGACTCTTTAACACCAAGAACTGACTTGGAAATGCAATATGCTCCAAACTAGTGTTACCTCAGCTCACTCCTTTACTCTGTCCTTTGGAAACATCTTTCAGCTCCACTGATTTATAGTCAGTTTCATCTTGTTTCAGAATTTTATACACTTTCACTGGCCAAATTTAGTACCTTCTGCAATTCATCTGCATTTGCTCTCCCATCTCCTACAGACATGCTGATGTTAATACTTGTGCTGAGACGAGATTCACTGCCACTCTCCACTGCTTCCAGCACTTTGGGAGACACAACAGCTGGTGATGACAGGTCTTCCAATAGATCCAGCATCTCATCTGCATATTGCTCAAATTGTGAGAATGATTCAAATGCAGCCATACATCCAGTGCGTTGGCAGTTGGTAAGTGTGAGAGAGGATTCAGACAGTTCGCTTGAAGCTTCTGCTCTTCTTTTATTATGTGGAATCCTGTGTTACAGTAACTCTAGTTAGCAAACTAAGACCCAGGTATCTATATCAGAGCCATGTTTAGACAAAAACATTTACTACAAAAACAATCATAATGCAGTACTTAATCAACCCAGTTAAATTTCTGGCAGTAGAACCAAATGATTCAGCACTGCTAATACCAAAGATTGTCATTGGACACAGTCCTGAGCCAATTCCATCCATCTACCATCTGCGCAAGCCATATATTTTCCATCAGACCCATCATAAGTGCTTAACCCATATACATGATTTTTGGTCTGGTGTACAGAGGAAATGCCTAGGTGTATTAGTGTTCTGTAAGATACACCTAAAATTTGGCAGCTCAGTATAGCAACCACCTGTCAAAGACTTGATATATTTTGTAAACATGTTTCATTTTTTTAAATCATAACTAACTACTGGCAAATAATGTAAATAAATGGTGCCCCAAGATTCTGGAACCAATGTAAACCTGTGTTCAAACTGTAGTTGTGAAGACAAATGTAAAAAATAAAGGAAAAATAATAATGAAAATGTAGAATACAAGTCCTAGCCACAAGTGAAACTGGTGTGACCCATAAAATGGCTGTTCCCATTCTGAGAATGTTACTATTCACTCTTTATAGAACCAAGTTTCTTATTTGACGAGCTATGCGTTACCTATTTGGATGTGATGATGGTAGCAAGAACTGGAAATGTATGACACTGATTTCTCCAGAGAGTTCAAGCAGTTGGAGACATGTCAGTTCATATGAGATGTATGCTCGCCTGACATATACCTGAAAATAATATGGTAAAATTTATTCAGTGTAAAAACTTGTTAATACAGATAGGATGTGGATCAGACTGTAGATGCAAATGAATTGCAAGGAAAATAATTTTTAAGTGGAAATACATAATGTATTCTAATCTACAATTAGAAATTTTCAGCACGTTTCAGAATTCTTGTTGTAGTTTGCACAGTGAGTTTGGCTCTCACAATACTCATGTAACATGTACAAAATAAACATAAATAGATACCTTATGGTTTTCAAGTCCTTATAAAGAAATGCTCTTTGATAATGGGAACCTGACAGCTCAGCTCTGTTTTGCAGTATCTAAGTAGTTCTTGTTAGGTTCCCACATACAGGAGAGTCTGCTTCACCAGATATCATGCATGTGACCATTACTGCCCGTATGTTTAACAATTTGAGAATGTTTGAGAATGGTTACTCATTCTCTTTGCACCAGATATATTGCAGTTTTGAATTTCTGGCTAGATCTGAACGTGTAAGAGTAGAAACTACTAATGGAGGTGACGGGGAAAAAAGACATTAAACAAAAACAGGATACAAGGAGATATAAAGCATGTAATTATACTGTAATAAGGTATCATGGATGTGCGTTCTGTCAAGGAAGAATAGACGGGACTAGAACTCTGACCCCTCAGCCATCCAACCCCTAGCCACTCACTATACTGATTGTGCCATTCCAGATTGTGGTAAGTTAACAGACATACGGTAAAGGTAAAGTTATACTTGGGTTTAAGTAATTAACCGCCAAGTTATGAAGACACATGGGGGGGGAGTGGACATATGGTTCAACCATTCTTAACCTTAGTTACTAGATGGAGGTGAGTGGTTAGCTTCTGCCACTGTCAATTTGCCCTGCAAGCCTGTCTGAACTTTATGGAGAAGAGAAAGATCTCTTGCCTTGTTAGGAATCAAACCCAATCTCCAAGGTCATCCAGCCCATGACCTAATTGCTGCAATGACTGAGCTATCTCAGCTCCTAACAAACCTAAAGTAATATTAAAATAAAAACACTAAAGCACAGGAAAAGCTGAATATTATTGACTGAAGTGCAGTTCAGAACTGATCCATAAAGATGCAGTTAATTTACAAAAATATATATGTTATGTGCAATAAAATTAATATTTTTTAGCAGTTTTGTACTTGAATGGAAGTTGCATGAATGTAATACACAACTGATGTGTTCCTGAAATCAATAACTTTTTGATATAGGATTATAATCTTCATTACAACTCAGGTACCTTAAAACACAGTGGTTCAGCCTGTTCTGACACATTTGTGTTATATTAAGACTGCACTGCAAATCAAACCTTTAGGCAGATTAAAAAGACAAGTAAAAATTATATTGCCTGCTCACCTCAAGTGCAGCATTGCATACAGCCTTATTGGAATGATAAAAGAAGTCATGAAGGATGTCGAAGATGGATGTTTCTGACATGATAAGCTTCTGAAGATTCTCTGGATGAAAGTCATGACCATACATGTCTACTGCTGAGAGGAAGATAGATTCCATCTGGTTATGACGAAGCTCATATGCTGGTTGGTGAGCTGCTATCAGAACCTAATGCCCAACATAACAAGTATTAACATAGAATGTCTAAGCAAGTTTTATTAATATCCCTTATAATTATAAAGTCTTTTTCATACATTCGTTACATGAAGTACAGGAAATGCAAGCACATCTGTTTCACTTACCATCCACATGTTCCATCTCCCACATCATATAATGAATATTCATAGCATTTGAGCATGTAACTACATGATTTAACAATCCAGCAGCCACTGTGATTCAGTCTGTTTTGTGGTCGCAATTTTGTAGGCACATGGATGATGAAGTGTTGACAGAGAGCATAAACAACTAAATTTTTAGTTTATACAAGGGTTGGAACTTTAATAGTGGCAAAACTGCTGTAGAGACACCATGCAATGGAACCAAACAATATCGCTTATACCACACGTTAGTTACATACCTACCTTACCTCAGAGCAAATGGACTCTCCCTTCCCACATCACGCGCATGTGCAGTGACGAGAAGAACAGAGCCTCGTGTTAGCTGGCGGTCTAATGTAGTGGTGTCATGATGTTTTCGAAACAGGAACAACAGAGTTGGATAAAGCTGGAATGTGCCAGAGGCCATACAGCATGACAGTGTCATCACGGTTTTCAAAAGGCTTGCGGGGAATCTGCATTGCCTTACAGAACAGTGGCAAGGGGGATAAAAGCCTTCAGTGAGGGACACCAAAATGTGGCAGACATGTGTCGGTCAGGTTGTCCTAGTGTCAGTGAAGAAGAAGAAGTGTGTGCTCTTTCCATGTCACTGGAGAGTGATCAATGCCATACAATTTGTGAGCTGGCCCGAGACAGGATTAGCACATATGACTGTGCTTCACATTCTGAAGGAACGCCTGGGCATGAGAAAGATTGCATCATGATGGGTTCTGCATGATTTGACAGAAATGCAGAAATGGTTACGATACGACGCTGCTCATAACCACTTTGAGCACTATGAGCGTGAAGGAGAGGCTTTCTTACACTGTATCATTATGCTGGATGAGACATGGACCAAATCGTACGAGCCTCAAATGAAACGCCAATCGAGCGAATAGCATCATTATGGGTCACAACGAAAATCAAAAGTTCGTCAGAACCCCAGGAATGTGAAAGTTATGGTGATTCTCATGTACAACTGTGATGGTGTTATCCTAATGCATACCATTCCCTGACAGCAGACTGTCAATGCACAGTACTACTGTTCATTTTTGGAACACAACCTGTGACCAGCTTTGAGAAAGAAACAGTGATACTTTCTGCAGAACCCACCCATCATTTTTCAGGACAATGCTCGGTCGCATGCAGGGCAAGCTGTGGCTGATTTGTTTGATCAATGTGGCTGGGAAGTGCTGTACCATCCACCATACTCCCTGAACTTATGCCCTTGTGACTTCGACTTGATTCCTATGATAAAGGAACCACTTCATGGCATTCACTTCAGAACTGTTCCAGAGATTCTTCAGGCAGTAGACCGCTCCATTCGAACTACCAGCACAACAGGCGCTGCTAAAGGTATCCTATGACTTCCACATCGCTGGCAATGGGTCGTACACGATGCTGGCGACTACACTGAAGGACAGTAAAACTTAGAAACATTCATCTATTTTGTATAGTTGTAAATAAATAGTTGCCACTATTAAAGTTCCAACCCTCGTATGTGAATATACTTCCAGTTTACTTAACAAAGCTGTAAGTAATTCAGTATTTGTTAAATGATAATAGCGGGCCAAGAAATCATAACGGACAATATTAAGAATCTCCCTAATCAAGTTACATAGGAGGCATAACATCAGTCACCTTGAAGAGAGACGACAGGGGTTACTGACACGAACCGTATGGTTTATGTGTTTTAATTTTTAACAAAGTTTTAAAACTTTAAAACAACTTTAAATATTTCTATAACCAGAAAGGCTGCTGTGACTGATAGATGGAACATTGTGTACTTGGACATTACATGTGTATTTGATATGACAACTGTTGTGATAGTGGTTTCTTGTCTCTGAAGATGATCCAAATGGATCGAAACATGTAAGGCTAGTGAATCATCAAGTGAGAAAAATGAAATAATCACATTGGATGGACTTGTCTTTCGTAATTGGAATAGAAATGTTTTGTGGTAAAACCCTGAGACCGCTACATGTTGACCTGATTTTATGATGGTAGAAAAACTATAGCATGGGGTGCCCACATATCAGAATCTTCTCACATGAGATAGGTCGTGTAGTCATGACCTTAGTAATGTCTTACAGAGCTTGTGCTCATTATTCAGTATGTGATGTATATTAGGTTATTCTTATGACGGTATATGTATGGGCTGCTCCCTGCATTGATGCTGTTGCTATGTTGTAGTGGTTCAGTCTAGACTACTTGTCTAGACTGTCTTTTATCTACAATAAATAGGACAGTGTTTTTGGATAAAGACAGGATGATGGATAATGTCAAGAAACATAATATTTGAAGCAAAATACAATTTACGCATCCATGTAGTGTATTTTTTGTGGTTCATTTGATAATGCTGTCAGTATATAGACCAGAAAGTATTAGATGGTACAATGACAGGTGAATAATGAATTGGAAAGGATCTGGGAGAAAGAACTCATGGCCCAGATGACGTACTACCCCAGTATCTGCCTTGGGAGACCCATAAAAATCACAAAAAAGTCTCGATCATAAGTCACTATCCTGAGCAAGAATTGAACTAAGCACATCCCAGACAAATCAAAAGTATACCGACCTGCTCAGGAGATGAAGTGTAAAATGAGTTAATTAGCTTTGTGAACAATGACTCTATGCAGTAGAGCATCTGTGCTATTTCTATCAACAGCAGATTTCTACCTGCAATGACAGTCAAGTTCAATGACAAATGCAAATTGCACAGAATGCATCTCTCTATATACTCTGACCACAATTCTCTGCCATTATTCTGTTATTATTATCATCCATATGGCTATCAGGAATTGTACTTATGTGAAAGCCCAGAACACTTTCGCAGATGTCATTATGCTATTATTGGTATCCAACCAGCTCTCTTCAACCTTCCTTCTGTGAAAGCTCATAGCATTTTGGCACATATCATTACACTGTTCTTGGTACCATCCAAAGGTGTCTGGAATTTTTCTTCTGTGAAAGCTTAGAACACTTTGGTAAAATCTCAAATTGCAGAACAGAGCCTGAGATCTAACATACACTTGAAGAGTTCTACTTTCTGGGCTATACTGCTGTGTAGTTCATTGAAAGTTAACCAGTGTTTCAGAGGAACATGTCACTTAAATCTTCATGGTTAAAGAGAAAGCCATGCAAGAAATCAACAGGAAGCAGGCAGCAAGCAAAACTTTACTTGCTGCTTGGAGGTGAATGTTCCTCCAAAATGTCAGTTGACTTTCAATGGGGTAAAAGGTGAACCGTTATTTACCCGGACTGTAACCAGTCCGAAATTTCAGGAGAGGGAAAGGGGGAGGAGTTCATTCACTTGTTGTTGTGGGAAATACACGCACAATTCGAGAGCTATGCTGACTGAGTTTAACAATTACAATATATATAATAACGAAATAAATATACATTTAACAATAATGAAGGAAATAAAACATATGATATGAATACAAGAAATGATATTACAAGAAACCTAGCATGACCCACCCCGGTCATTCGAGCCAATACCTTTCTCATGGGGCACCGCCCATTTAATTTCACAAAGCAAGAAAAGAAAAAAAAATAATAATACTCACATGTGTATACGNTACATACTTGTCTGGCTCGGAGGGCTACTCTAGAATGTTCACTCCTGTTGAGGGATGTCAGCTCATTCAGAGTTGTTGCAAGTTCATCTGTAAGGCCTGGTTCATTGGACCACAGGTGATCAATTAGCATTGTGACCAACATGTTCTTCTTGGCAACCTGTGCATAACAACTGGATGTTAACTGTTTCAAAAACAAGCAACATCATAGGCAGAAATGAAGGACACAGAAATTCCTTTTACCTGAGCATGGGAGAAGATTGTTGCCGTAACTGCTGCCATGTCATCCTTATTTCTTTCTCTTATTGCTGTCACACACTTGTCATAACTACCTGTAAGCATAACATAAATTAGCAGTCTGTAGCACTGTCACTACATATATTTATTGGACATGTGTCAGAATAACTTTTCTGAGATAAGATCAAGACAAGAGTGTTCAAATATTTTGAGAATGAAGAGTTATCCCTACCAAGCCAATTTCTTTCACTGTAATCACAATTTTTATCACTTTCTCATATCCACTACACTACATCCCCGCCTTATTTCATTCATTCATTCATTGCTAAAGGAGGTGGGTTTCCCCATGCACTTAGACCAGTTACTGGTCCATTGTACATCCTCCTTAAATTTCTACTGTCTCCATACCCTACTGGTACTGGTGCCCTTTATCAGCCCCTTTCTGCCAGCAAGGTCGGCCCTCTACTGGCAGTGGTATCTGATAATTAGTCCCTTTCTGTCAGCGAGGTCGGTCCTCATCTGGCAGTGGTACCTAATACTTTACCCATTTACCGGAGGCATTGGAAACTACTTGGGCGGGAAAATGTGCCTAATTTAGCTCAGAGGTCTCCTAGAGACATGAGGTTCTTTTACGTGCCGTAAATCTACAACACAGGACCCACGGCTGGAGGACATGTTCCCTGAATTTTTTCCGCCCTTAAAAATTCCATGACCTCCTCCGGGTTTGAACCCGCGTACCTTGAGTCATGAGGTGGGAACGTTACCCCTAGACTACGGAGGCCGCTCCCCGCCTTATTTACTTACTCCTGTTGATATCACATGAAAAATTGTCATAATCATGGCATTCAAAAAACTAAATATAGAACCATGTCCTTTATCCCTGTGGGTAGAAACAGATTGAGAAACTTTAAGTGGTCAAGAAGTTGATTTATAGTAGCAGATTAGTCCAGTGAACAGTGTGCTTAAGTGCTCCTGCACTAAGCAAAAGCAGTTATCTAAAAATTCTCAGTTTAAGACTGAAAAATCAATGTCTAAATCAAATCTGAGATTATTTTGGTTCAATCTAAAAAATGTGGGCCTTTCATATGCACAGCATAATACAATGCATACAATGCTTTAATCTGTTTGTTCATTTAACAACGGTTTTCCAGCCATACAGGTTATACATCTTACAATGAAATAATGATTGTGAATGATGGATCATAAAGGGTTTATTAGGAATCAGTAAATGGCCCAAGGTGATATCTCAGAAATTGCCTAAGGGGACTAGAAAAAATTCAGATAGGATGCCAGTCTCCAGGCCAACACCTGAACTTTAGGTCTCCTGAATATGAAGCAGATGTAGTAAACACTAAAATGATCAATGGCATCAATGCAGCAATGAAAGTTAACTTTAAGGTTCTGTTTGCGTTTGAAACTGAAGTCAGCCACAAAAGAGCATGCCATGCATTTTTAATTTATAAGCACAATACTGATTATCTCGTTTCTGTTAACAGTTGAAACTATACTTCATTTGGTAAGCAAATGGGACCAGTTGTTGCTTCACAACATACCGTTTAACCACTGTTTTCACCCACTCATCAAGTAACATAAATACACTTACAGCAACACTAAAGCAACAATTAGTGGCACAGCATCAACAAAAAAATTGCTTCCATTGCAATTAAAATAACTACATGAGAATGATCATGCAAAGCATTTGTGCATTTGGTGGCTGCAGATTTATTTTGAATGCATATTTATGCATGCATAAGCTGGGATCAGTCTTGACTGGAGATATAATTTATTCAAGCATAAATATGCATTACACTTCAGTAGGTCTCCCTTTACAACCATATACACTCAACTCTCGATTATCCGGGGGCGGATAAACCAGTCTGCGGCTTAATCGGGGCTTTTTTGTGGCTTATACGTTGTTTAATATTCATTCGCTTTAGTTTCACATGGTGAGTTGTAACACTATTTTTGCACTAGTGTGAACCGAGCTCTGCATTTTTTGGTCCCGTTATGCTACCACAGTGTTCTAGGATAGGGGTTAAAGAATGCAATGATTTGTGGAAAATTTCAAAGACAGATACACTGCCCCAGTTAGTCTCTTTGTATCGATCTTCAAGTGCGTTAGCGTGTTGTGTTAAGTATTCAACAGAAACTCGTGTGAGTCTGGCTTCGAAATGTTAAGCAGTGACGAAACCGTAAGTTCAGTGGGGGTGCAGCAAGAAGAGCGGGAAGAAAGTGAGAATGAGAAAGAGGTGGACAGTGCTGCTAGTAAGAAAATATCACATGGTGCTGCTCTTAATCATTTGGAATCCTTACTAGACTATCTTGAGAGTGAAGAGAACAGTTTATTAAGTGACAAGCTAATATTACGTAGGCTTCGTACAGATATCCGTAAAAAGGAAAATGCTGCGAAAAAGCAAACGACAATATTAAATTTTCTTAAGTGTTAAGTGTGAATATTCGTAAACAGTGTTGGATGTTGCTGAACACTGTGATTGAAATAACTAATTCATGCTTCAGTGTAATGTAAAAAAAGTATTAAATAGGCCATGAGATGACATAAAAATGAGGTTGAATAAATTTAAATACAGGTAGGCCTATAGTATTATGAAGGTACAGTATTACAGTACTACTCTGAATAAAATTTGTCTTAACCGGGTTTTCAATTAATCGTGATTTCCATCCCTACCATTATCCCAGATAATCAAGAGTTGAGTGTATTTATTTATGTCATATGTATGAATTGTGTTCACTACCTTACAAAGATGCACACTTTGTGTAAATATTTAAGAAATTTATCTGCAATATATTGTTTTAGTGCTGCAGTTAGCATGTTTATATCGCCTGATGATCAAAAAGTGAGCTGAAACTCACTGGTTTAAAAGGTACACTGCAATACATAACAAACCCACTTTGTGTGATGGCAGAAAAACCATTTTATTATCAATCTAGTATTGACTGCTATGCTTTAATTAGTAGAAATGAACTAACCAAACTTACTAACTACATGGAGCAGAGTTCTTGTTGAAAAGCTAACAGTCTTTCAAATAGCTAAGAATGACCCCACTTTTCACAGAACCAGACAATTCATTGCCACGTTCACAACAGGTTCATTTTAACATTACCCTCCCACCTACATCTAGTTCTCTCAAGTTATGTCTCCTTCCCTTAAGGTTTTTCCTCCTTCATTTTATCATCCATTTAATACTATTAGCATAAATTTAGTAAATCACACAAATTTAAATCCAAAGTACTGTTATAAATAACAAACCAACCACACCCAAAACACAATCATAGCTCTGAATAAGCTATATGCATACATCCAAAAGTGTGAAATGAATTTCAGTGTAATGAAATCTGTTAAAAGAACTTGAAAATAAGCCTTATCCTCAACTACCTTAAAAATATATCTAAAAAAAAAGTTTAATTCAAGAAATTCATACTTGAAACTTTAATACAATTTGACTTTCAAGTACTTCATCTATGAAATATGTCTAAGACAGATAGAGTAAATTTATTGATCCACTTGACACTAGTGTTCAGGGAGTTACAGCACCTTGTTGGAACTGGCTCTCCACTGCATAATACTGTCGGAGGAGTTCATGGACTGCAGACTTCATGCGGCCACGAATGCCATTACGATATCGCTGCACTAGTTGTACAATGCTCTGTGTTGTTAAAAAAAAGACATCCCGGTCTGCTCTCTTCTGAAGTGTAGCAGCATGACTAGAAACAAAGAGCATGCACATGCCTACAATGTAACTAGGTTGTTTATTTAATGATGATGAGTCAAATGAGAATATTATATAGTGCTCCATGAACACAGCAAAATGAATATGTAAGATAAATAGGAAATATTATGGAATCAGCAATACTCCATTTTAAAGTATGAAATATTAGAAAATAAAAACCAAGTTATAATATTAAAAATTCAGGATAACTAGTATAATCAATAAAATCTGAGCTTTTCACAGCAGTGAAGATTCATCCTGTGGCCATCTAGGTTATGACATGGTGTCACCTGATACATTTTAGAGGAATAGTGTGTACCAGCTTTATGGAGCCCTGAAGCTAACAGGAATAAAATATGTGATTACATAATTTAATTATCAAATTTATCCATAATTTCCAGTAGAGAATATCCCACTATCTGCCAGTTGAATTGCATAGCTTCAAAATTCTGTTTACTGCCATGTTCATAAAGTACAAAAACAAACGTTTCAAACAAAATTTGTACCAATATTTACATACAACTCCATATCTTACAACTCCATAAAAATTTCACAGTGATTCAATAAATACAGATACCAAACTGAAAGCTAAGTGAAGATTTCACATGGTAGCCCTTTATTACATTCTATAAAAGTATGACCTTAAAGAATGAATATATGTATAATGCATAACAAACCAGTTAACTGCAGAGCTGTGTACAAAAGTCAATATTTCAATATTACAATATTACAATACCACTTTCCTTTCTTCTGAACATTTGAAATTTACATCTCTCTATAGAGTTATGTTAGAGTTTGAATTTGTATTGCATGCAGATATATATATACATATACAGGATGTGCCAGGAGGAATGGACCAAACTTCGGGAGGGTGTTCCTTATGTTAAAGTATGCCGATATAACCCAAAACACCTATGTCCAAAGTTGAACGGTTACGGAGATAATGGCCAGAGAAGTGTCAAACTTTGACTGGCGTTGCACACTTGTTGATTACAAAATACATATTAAAACTGGCAGGAATATGTGGATTCTGTAACGTTAATATTTTGACGTGGTCATTTAAATTCCGCGGCCGCAGCTCCTGCGGTAATATATTCAGCCGGCCATTTAAATTTTGCTCGAAAATTATTTATTCATCATTGTTCTTAAATTCTATGAGATAGGAACATGAAACTTTCACTAAAATGATCTTAAAAGGTGGTTTTATAACCTTACCTTATA